ATAATATTTGTATTATCATAGGGTGCAGATCCAACATCATAAATTTTGAAATTTGCAAAGGAAAGAAACTTTGAAGAGAATTTAGCTATTATCTCGTTGGGATAAGGCTAAGGAAAGATTGCAACTAAATAAATTAATGATGCCACTTAATCAGGAGGTTGGGTTTTATTATAAAATTGTCATCTTGCAAGAACATTTATGCCAGACTTAGAAAAATTAGTAGATGAAATTACAGCCAAAAAATCAACCATTAATCCTAGTTATAGATTGTTCCTCACTTCTATGCCTGCTTCCTATTTCCCAGTAAGTATATTATAAAATGGAATCAAATTAACAACAGAACCACCTCGAGGTTTGAAGGCTAATCTTAAGAGATCTCTATAAGATATTTCTAATGAATTTTTGGATACAGCAGCAAAACCAGAGATATATCATAAATTGGTTATGGGATTATGTTATTTCCATGCCATTATTTAAGAACGTAAGAAATTTGGTCCTTTGGGATGGAATATCAAATATGAATTTAATGATAGTGATCTTGAAACTTCAAAGACAGTTATTAAAATGCTTTTAGGTGAAAATGATACTGTACCTTGGGATGCTATGTTATATGTGAGTGGTAATATCAATTATGGTGGTAGAGTAACTGATGATTGGGATAGAAGATGTTTAATGACTATTTTGAGGAAATTTATATGTAATGAAGTATTGGATGATAATTATGTTTTTTGTGAAAATAATACATACAGAATACCTGAGAAAAGTGTAGTTGAAGATTATATTAAATATGTTGAATCTTTACCTATGACTGATGATCCTGCAGTTTTTGGCATGCATGAAAATGCCAATATCACATTCTAATTAAGAGAAAGTGATTCAATTTTAGAAACTATCTTATCTATATAACCAAGAGAAGGTGGAGGATCTTCAGAAAAAACACCTGATTAAATTGTATTAGAGCTTGTTAAAAGTATTTAAGATGATCTCCCTCCTCTTTTAAGTAAAGAAGAATCTAATAAAGAATTATGGTAAATTAATCCAGAAAAAAATCTTATTCCATCTTTATCTACAGTTCTATTATAAGAATTAGAACGTTTTAATATTTTACTTTCAACTATGGCTAGAACATTGTAAGGATTGGCTTAAGCTATTGAAGGTATAGTTGTAATGAGTTAAGAATTGGATAGTATGTATTATTCACTTATGAATAATGAAGTTCCAAAAGTTTGGAATAAAGTGGGATATTTATCATTAAAAGGTTTGGCATCTTGGATTAGAGACTTAAAAGAAAGAGTGAAATTTATGTCAGAATGGCTTATTACAGGTGGGCCTAATAGTTTTTGGATATCAGGATTCTTTTATCCTTAAGGATTTTTAACTGGTGTTCTATAAACTCATGCTCGTAAGACAGCTATAGCTATTGATAATCTTGTCTTTTCATTTAAGGTATAAGAATTTGAAAAAGAATAATGCTCAATAAAACCAGTGGATGGTGTTTTTATTTATGGGTTATTCTTGGAAGGAGCTCAATGGAAAAAGAAATGTCTAGCAGATCTTAATTTTGTAATATTTTATCATTAATATTTAGGGTCAAATGAATATGTTGATGCCAGTGATTCATTTCTTACCTTTACAATAGGACAAATATTAATAGAGATCTGATAATTATAGGTATTATTTATGTTAAAATTATTAGTTGTCCTGTTTATAAAACATAAACAAGAGCTGGTGTATTATCCACTACAGGACAAAGTACAAATTATGTTTTGGCTGTGGTATTTATTTATATATATATAAATAATTTTAGGATTTACCCACTTTAGATTAACCTCCTGATTATTGGACATTAAGAGGAACAGCACTTATTTGTGCACTTAAAGAATGATTTATAATTGAATAAGATAACTTTAGATTTATTATTATCAATAACTCGAAATAAGTAAAAAATTAAGATTTTTTCAAAGAGGCAAGATAGCCTTATTTTCCTACTTCTTTAAAGATTTTTCATTTGGCTTTTTGTCTTAAACTACAACTCTTTTTCCTAGTTTCCATTGACCCTTCTCATGAGAATTATTTGGATATATTATTATTCCCTATCCATGCATCAATCCCTTTTTCCACATACCTTTATAAATCTTTCCATCTGGATAATAGTATTCTCCATATCCATCTCTTACATTATTTACATAATTTCCTATGTATTTCTTTCCTCCTGGCCATATAAATATACCATGACCATGCATCATACCATTACACCACTTCCCTTCAAACTTTCTACCATCCTACCAAATAACTTTTCCTTCTTCCATTGCCTTACCATTTATCCATTATCCTTCAAATACAAATTATTCCTTATTATTGAATAACTTTCCTTATCCATTTCTTTAATTGTTCTAAAATTGACCGATAAAAACCGATCCATCAGGCATCTATTCTTTTCCGATACCGTTTTTTTGTCCATTTTCCCATTCTCCTTCATATACTACTTATTCAGAATTTAAATAAAAACCATCACCACTAAATTATCCATTTTTGAACTCTCCAATATATATATTCCCATCATTACTAATCATCCTTCCATCACCATGATAAACATCATTCAGCCAATATCCTTCATAAATAAAGTCGTCACAAATCAAAAATCCAAAGCCATTTCTTTTTTATTAAAACCATTCTCCATAATAAATCAAGTTATCTTCTAGTTCAAAAGGTTTGAAATGACAATTTGTCACTTTATATGGTCCTAACCTATTCCACAATCCAGCAATAATTCGATTCTAAATCATAATTTAAGCACCAATATATGGCTTAGCTTAATTATTAAATGGATGATGGCTAGATGTTTGAGATTCCAAATCATCCAAAACAGCTACAATTATTGGATCATGCTCTTAAATCCGTATAAATCTATCATTTCTTAATTTGTTTCTGCACCCATTCACATCCATCATGTGATCATCTTAAATATTTAGGTTAACATCTAAAGATGAACCTATCCCATGTTCTTTTACTTAGCTTTAAACATTATTATTGAAAACTGTTGACTAATCTTATTGAGCAAATATTTAATTCTCAAAGTCTCCTTTATAGAATGTTATTTAAAGCTATTAAAGCTGCTCCTCTTTTAATTTAGATACTTCAATTTTTAATTATTCTTTATTCACTTATGATTTCATTTATACATTCTAACATTTTGAATTAGATTTCTCATTTGATTGAACTACTTCTTCTTTCTTATCTTTTTTTAAATTTATTTATGGCACTTCATTTGAATCCTTAGTTATCTTCTAAGCATTACCTTTTTCTTTTGAATTATTAGATCCCATTTTTGTAGTAGTAAAATTAATATAAAAATATTTCTAATATATACGACTTAATTATTATTGTAATTATATTCAGTTTTTTTATTTTCATATTATCCTACTATTATTTTAAGGAAATACATAAATTATAAATAATTTTATATAAATATTTGCTAACAATTACAGAATCAGCAATAAATTTAAACAAATTTTGCTTAAAAATAAATCAGCTAAAGGAAATAATTGATGAGATATATAACTGGAATTAACCAAAAACAGTAGTTAGGGTTCAAAACTTTTGGTTGCCGGTTAGCTAAAAAATAATTATCAATTATTGTGAATTTAATTAATCTCACTGAAGATATTATGATTTAGTCATTTTTATTTTAGTTAATATCACACTATTATAATTTCGATAAAATACATCAATCGCCAATATGGGATCATTAGATAAAAGGCAACTCTACATCACTTAAGCTGATTAATCAACTTCTTCAAAGTTTGATGAATGGGAATTAATCGATACAGACTTGAATGATTAGACAACGTTAGAAGACGAGGATAATTTTTTATCAGTCACACGATAATACAAATTCGTCATAGGCATCTCCAAACCATAGGAAGTTAGAATTGGTTTAAACTCAATATCAAAAAGTAAAATTACAATCAAAGGTCGGTTGGGAATTTAAACTAAGTTCCCTATATCTCAATGATTATAAATGTTTATATATCTTTTAATAAAGACATGTATTGTCAAATATTTGTATTTACTTCTAAGTCATTTTTTCAAAACAAAATAAGTAATTATTAGCTTGAGGATTATGATATTTTGAAAAAAGGGTCCAATTATTATTATAATGAATTGATCCAAGAAGAAAGAGATATAAGAAAATACATTAAGGTTTGTGTTGGTAAGATTTTGAAAAATGTTTTATTTTTCATCACAAAATAAGAATTGTATAGAAAAATTTATTTAAGCTTAAACATCTTGCAATTCAATATTTTTTTTTATTAGATTCATAAAATAGTTAAGAGGTCCTCTTGTCTAAGTTTAAGTTATGAAAAAAAAATTTTAATTGGCAAAAATGTATTTTTTTGTTAAATAATAAAATTGTTTTTAAATATATTATACTTGAGAAAAATGGCAGAGGTGCATCATTTTAATCATTCAATAAATTTAAGATATAATTATAATATTGGAATATATCACTAAAATAAAATAAAATTTCAAAGTTTTGGTTGAAATTAAAAATTCTTCAATTTTCCATCATTTCAAGTTTAATTATATTTTCTTTCATTAAAATAGATTGTTAATTACCATAAATTTTATCTTCTAATTTTTATTTGATTTTAGTTATTTTTTACAATTTTATAGAATGATCTTAATAATAATATACACAAAAAATGTGTTGGTTTTTAAATAATTATTTAATAAATAATTTATGAATAAATTGTATTTCAAAATATTATAATTGATATTTCAAGGTTTGAGCATATTTTTCTTCCATCCACTAAGAAGAATATACAGCAAATTCAACATTATAATACCTAAGCATCCTAAACCCACCAAATACATATGAAATAGTATTTAACTTGTTATGATAATATCCCATCCACCAAAAAGCCAAAAGATAAATGCAAGAGACATAATTTAACATAAATTAAATGCCTTCTAAATATAAGAGTAACTTAATAATAAATAAATTATACGTTGATTTCTAAACTACAACATTCAATATTCCAGGCTATGCATCACAATCTAAATCTGACATACCAAAGCTTTCTTCCTTAAATATTATAACAAAGAATGTTTTCAATTAGAAATAGATTATTGATAATATCTATCCTGTAAAATCTTATTCATCAGAGAATAAATAAAATTAAATAAGGCCACATAGGCAAAATAACCCAAAATATTCATATTCAATATTAAATTCCTATAATTTTATATATACTGAAACAACTAAGAGAAGTTTGACATATAATTCACAAATAAATTAAATACTCCATCTAATACTTAGAAATGAACTTCCAGCAAAAAAATTTAAGTGCATAAATCCATTCACTATAGAGAGTAAATTAAGACCTGCAATAACTAAATAGGGTATTTAAATATTTTCTAAGTCTTACATTTAAAGATAGAAAAACACTATCATTAAAGGGAAGTTGAATAATAATGCATCAAGCATTCTACATAATGTCATCATATGTTCAATTGTACTATCTTTTTTATTTTATACATATATATAATAGATCCAATAGCAAATATCTAAATTAGTGATTATAAAGAATGTTATCTTAAACAATCTCCATCCATTTTCAAAGGAACTATCTAAATATGGTAGTTCATCAAGCCATTCATCATTCAAAAAATATATTAATAAACCTTTCAAAAGTTGAACAAATACAAATAAACCCTAATTATATTTAAAATAATACTCCTAAAATTTCAGCATGATACAAATCTTAATCCTATATTATCAATTTAAGTGAAAAAAGTAAGGCTGTAGAAAAGACAGAATAATAAACTAGAAGTAAATATGTAGGAGTAAAGTATTTCTATATAAATCTATCTAACTTTGCTATACATCCTTCATTATTTTCATCTGTTTTTTCATCTGTCTGTCTTCTACAAGAGCATCCTTTAATTCGATTTAAAAAGCCTTCTTCAGCTTCAGGAACTACTTAGATAGGTTATTTTTCAGATTCTAATGGTTTAAGATCATTAGAATCTGGTTCTTGTCCTTGATTATAGTTTTAATCATAATTATTAAGTTATTCATTATTTTATTCCCTTCCAGATTTTTGTTAAAGATTATCCTACTTAAATTATTTGCTTGGTTACTTCTTATTCTTAGTCATCTTCCTCAAATTGAATTACTTGATTATCATTGTCTGTCATTGTTAACTGATTAAATATTTAATAATATAACTGTATATACAATAGAAGATATAAAATATAAATTTATTTGATTAAATCCTTTTTCAAAATGTCGATCTTGTCATATGAAATCCTCTTAACTTTGATTGTCTTTGCCCTTTATTACCTATATTATAGGAAGTTTAAATTCTTTACAATCGTGGAAAAATTAGAACAACATAATATAAGAAACAAATTACCTAGAGGAAAATGTCCACCCTCCTATCCAAATGGTTGGTATCGTCTATGTAGATCTGGAGAGTTGAAATCAGGGTATTTTATTAATTAATTGATAGAGAAGTGAAAGAAATCAAATTATGTGGAAGACACATTGCATACTATAGAGGAACAGATAAAAATGTTTATGCAGTAGCTGCTTATTGTCCACACATGGGTGCTAATTTAGGAATTGGAGGTTAAGTAAAATTCAGATCCTGTATTGAGTAATTATTTTAGATCATAATTAGATGTCCATTTCATGGATGGGCTTTTGATGGTAAAAGTGGATTGTGTGTCAACTCTGATAAATTAGATCCTAAAATAGTTTCAACATATTGTTATCCTGATATTGAAAGAGTGACCAAAAATTAGAAAGGAGAGTATTTATAGAAAATATCTGATGGAGAAGTTAAAATTAAAACTTATCTTGTTAAAGAACTTAAAGGAATTGTATATATTTGGCTACATTCCAAAGAATCAAAACCGTATATATTTATTATTAATATATAGATGGTACGATCTAGTGAGTGAATAAAGTGAACATCTTACATTGAGAGCTGAAAGTGTAAATTATGTAAATTGTCACGTTTAAGAAATTCCAGAAAATGGTGCTGATATGAAACATTTTGATTATATACATTATTCAGCTATGGATATCATTCCATCATGGTTAGTATAATTAAGATGGGAAATGAGAACTAAAAATGCCAAAGATCCAGATTTTTTAGAAAAAATGACTCATCCAGTAGAAAAATGTAGAACTTATTAAAAAACATTATTTGATCAATATCTTGTTAATAAAGAACTTATTCCATATTTGAATGTTCTTTTATTAGATGGATATGTAATATTGTTTAATAAGTATAAATTTCATGCAGTTTGGGCAACTGGATTTTAAATGGGTCCAGCAACAGTTGCTTTATATGTAAAGAGTGCCATCTTTGAGGTATTATTTAAGTAGGCAATCTAACCTGTTGAAAAATTTACATAAAAAGTCTATCATACTGTATTTACTAATGGTTACTTACCTTATTGGTTATCAGCTTATCTTCTTCATGCTGAATTGAGACAAGTGATCTTTGATGTTAAATTATGGAATGCAAAGATATTTTCAGAAACATTAAGATATAATATGAAAACATATGCTGATCAAGCATTATTAAATTGGAGATAATGGTATTCCCAATTTTATGAAGGTTCTGCTGAATTTGAAAAGAGTTTAGATTAATTGGAATGGTGATTTGTATAAATATAATAATATTATAAATATGTTATTTTAAATATTCAAATAAAACTAATAATACTAATGCTATTTAAAATTATTAAATATTATTATACAAACTTAACTAATATTGATTAATATATTATAAACTAATACTAAAATATAAAGATAATTTTATATTAATTAACTTATGATTATAGTGATATGATCTGATTCATTCACGTTAAAAAAAGTTAAATAAAGAAGAAAGACAACTAAATTTAATGATTTTTAATTAATAAATTTAATTATTAACTTTAATGTATAGAAATTAATAATAAAATTATTATAAGAATTTCGGAATTTCATTAGAATATTTTAAATAATTTTCAATTGTAATTTTCATATATTTTATGTACAAATTAATACTAGCAACTGTGATATTGTTATTCTTCTTAATCTTAGACAATCTTTTTGGAAGCTTAACATACAATATAAGTAATGAAATTACTAAGTTTCTTCAAATTTAATTTGAATATGGAAAAGAAACTGGATTTTTCGGTATAAATCTTAACTATATTTTAGAATACATACTCCTAATATTTTCAACTGCAGGAGATGCAGAATGTACTAATATTTTAACTCTTTTGATATGGATCAAAGCTTAAAACAAAATTTAGATATTCAAGCTTATAACCATGAATGCAATTGCTGCTGCATTTGGGAACTTTATCAAGATGGTTATGACTTAACCAAGACCATTTTACTTGGATCCATAGATCAAACTGGATTTCTGCTATACTGGATTTGGAGATCCTAGTGGACATTCTCTAAGATCATTTGTATTCTATACAATACTGATTGAAACAATTATATTATAAAAATACAACATTTAAGAGAACAGCACAATTATGGAATCAGACAAACAAGTTTATAGTTTTAAAGAAATCTCAAAGTATTTATTTTCTGTTATTAATTTTTAGTTCTGAATTATATAAATAGATTTATTCAAATCAATATGTATCCTACTCTAAATACAAGTTTTTTATTGCAATTTTTGCATTCTTAATTGGAATTGGAAGGTTATATTTTGGAGTTCATTTTTTGAATCAAATCATAATAGGTTGGGTAATAGGAGGATACATAATTTATGTATATTATTATTGTGGTTTGGAAAAAATGATAGAAATAGCTTTCAGAAACTCTTTATTGTTGAACTCATATAGATACCTACAAATGTTATTGGCTTCATTTTTGATATTTACTTTTGCATATATCTTATATTTTGAAAGACATTATGAACAATCTTTAATAGATTTAAAATAATAATGGAAATAAAATATATTAAAATAACCACATTGTACAACAGGAGGAGGGTACAATCCTAAAAATAAATTTGAAACTCATGATATCTCTGGAATCTCAATATTATTTTTGCCTTGTTATTTATTAGCCTTCTATTCAAAATAATAAATATTATTAAAAATTGAATCAGATTAAATATTAAATCAAGTTGGTTAAAATATTTAGTATCTTATTACATATATTGTTGTATATTGGATTTAACTTTTAGAAGAATAAACATCAAATAAAATTGCTGGAATTTCTGAAACTAAGAAATTATTATGCAAAATATTTTTTACTCAATTTCATTATATAGAAATATCTATCTTATTTGTAATGATAATTCCTTTGAGTTTAAGATTAGTAACATCATTCTTGAAAAGATAATAATTTAGTAGAATTAGTTAAATTGATTAATCAGAAATGGAAATGGTATGAATTTTTTCTATATATTTAATAATAATCTTAATTTCTAATTAAAAGTTAAATATATTTTATAATTTAACATCTAAATGAAATCATAACTCAATTTTTTGCTGCTTCTAAAATATTAATCATTTAATTCTTTTTCTCATCAAAATTAAACTAAATTATTAATAAATATAATTACTGTTGTAGACTTCTCAATGTTATTAAAAGTTTACAAGAAATATGCTTTTAATAGTGTCAATTGTACTTTTCCAGTTCTATCCCTATTCAATTCGTTTATCTTTTTATAAATTAAATCAACAAAAATGGAAAATGTTGTTTCTGCTTCCTTATTAAATTTCAATAATAATAACAATCTATTCAAACAACTTAACATTTATTTAACAATCAAACCATTTTCCTTTTTAAATATAAAAATATATTATTACAATTGAATCTGTAATATTCAGTTTTATAATTGCTGCTGCTTATTCTCCTAATTTAGTATATATTTGTTATACTAATTCTAATATAGTTAAACTAAATTAAGAATCCTTATTAAATAATGCATCATTTGATTTCACATTTTCAAAATGATAAGGCAATCTTTCTTGAACTTATGCACATAAGTATTGTATACAATTAACATATATTACAATTGAATAAATCCCTCCATTTTTTGGATTCCATTTCAATTATTCAAATGCCTTCAATAAACCTTAAAAAATATTTAAGTAACCTGCAGAAGGGTCATCAGGAACTATAATAATAAAAGATATCAAATCCAATATATATGGAGTAATAACTTCATCTATTGGACGACCATTATGAGTTTCAGGTAATTCAAGTAATGTTTCAATTGTTGTTTTAACTACTGCTTCACTTTGAGATAATAAATTTAATGATAATCCTACTTAAGCCACTTAAATGTATTTTCTTAATTTTGATATTGGATTATCTATTGTTGGAATAGTTATAAAACTATAAGCAATACAAGCTTAATAAAATGAAATTATTTTTTTTTGATTTTTTCCTTTAGATAATCTTTTACCTTTAAAAATTAAATCTAAAGCTCTATCTATTAAAATTTCAGATAGACCACTTATATTTCCAAATTAACCTCTCATTTCAGCATACAAATTCAATGTTTATTCTAAATCTTTACCAAAATCAATCTTTTATAATAATAAATTAATAATTTTTGCCAAACTTTTTTATTCATCCTTAGTAATAGATTTCTTATTATTTAAATTAGCTGTCAATTTAACAATTGAATGCACAGCCATAGGATCAGATATTTTTTCCTTCTAATCCCTATTAATAATCATTGAAAGCAAATCATTACAAACTAACTTTTTCATATCTTCTGGGAAAAATTAAATACAAGTAATAAATGTATCAATTTAAAGTATTTCTGATATATCTTAAGAGTCTTAAAATATTTTAATAATAAATTAATGTAATTTAATAAATGTCTCTTTACTTTAATTTGTATTTACTTAATCTTTTTCAACCATACTAAATAAATCATTAAATCTTTATAAAATCAAGAAAAAAAATTAATTTTTCTAATATCCCTAAAAAGATCTAAAAATCAATTCAATTAATGATGCCAATATCTCTAAAAATAATGGAAATGACTTTATTTATAAAATGTCCTATAAAACATATTCACATATCTCAGAACCAGCAGCTACATTAGTTAATCCCTTAGCTATTTTAGGTAAAAAACAAGCATATAATTAATATTTATTATCTACTGGATATGCTTGCATTATTGAAAATAACTCTAATGCTAATGTACTAATATGAACAGCTTAAAATTATTCAATCATCTTTTTCAAAACAAAATGATTTTATGTACTCTATCTAAAATGTTCAAATATATCTTTAAATTCTCTCTATAATTATATTTAATTAAATATGATACTTCTGTACAATTTTATGAATATTATCTAAATGTTTATATTAAATATGGTTCAAACAATCTTAAATATTAATCTCCCTATATATCTAATTTTCCAAATTTATTTTTTTAATTCATATATATAAAGAAATCTTTTAATGTTGATATAAGATAATCTTTCTCTCCTGAAAATAATTCTGCTCCTATTCTAAATAAATAAAGTGCAAAGTACAAAGCCTAATATTAATAAAATATATTTATACATTAATATAATCACCAATTGCTCTAACTTATTTAATAAGTCTATTGAATATTGGTTTTATTTAACTTTAATCAATAAAATAATAAACTTTCAATAGAGTAGCTTCTATATATAATCTAGGTAACAATTCTCTTATAGATCCTATCTTATTTATCCAATTTCTTCCTATTTCTGATGCTGTTTCAGAGATATTTGATCCTACTACACTTTATAAACTAATTTCAGCTATTTTTTGATCTGTATATTGTGGATAACTTAATTTTAGTAATCTCTCAATTACATACTTACCAAATGTTTCCAAAATATCAATAATATAAACATACTTTACAGGAGCAAAGAGCGGCTTATCATTATCAATTAATAATTTGCATGATTATATTGCTAATTATAATGAGGCTACTTTATCTCCATTAATCCATTATCTCTTTAAATCTCTTCTAATATCTAAGACTTTTTGAATATATGTTTTTTATAAAATCATTTTAGATGTCCCTTACTTTGGAGCCTGTGTCTAATATTCAATTTTACTATCTCCACTATATGCTGTTTTAGCTTATCCATCAAATTAATTCATAGATTGAACATTGGATCCAAAAGGCTAGGATATAATTTTTTCATACATTTGGTACAGGTTGATCTAAATCATATGTTTTAATTTGAAATATGTTTTAAAAGTCTTCCCTTATTTCTTACCAATAGATTGAAAATTCTCCTGTTGCTTTTAATTATTTCTCTTCTGCATCAATTTCAAGTTTTCCTTCTTATTATTATTATTATTATTGTTATGGCTTATTTGGTTCAACACTTTTAGCCTAGGCCTAAGTTTATGACTATTCTATTTTTTAAATTGGTTAAGCAGAAGGTCTAGCTAATGGATCTACAGTTTGTGGTCTGCTTAATGGATTTGTTTAGGTTTTTTAATTAGTTGCTCTAGATAAAGGATCAACAAAATTTCCTTTTGTTCTTATTTACACATTTGCTTTTCTTCCTCTTTGTATTGTGACTTTTGGTCTATCTAATCTCAATGGATTGTCTGTAGTTTATTATAATTAAATAGCTCTAGTTTTATAAATAAATTCGTAATCCTTCTCTTTAAACACTCTAATAGAGATCAAATAAATAAATACATTTGAGATGCCATTCTTAAAGAATTAATATTGAATAATATATAATAATAAATATATCACAATTATTGATAACTCTCAATTTAATATGTTAAATCCTATATAGAATTAGGAGCCATTCTTAATAGCTTTAAATATTTCTCTGAGTAATTTTTGATTATATTATTCTAATTAAAAATCAACAAAGTGAAACAAACTTTGGATATCTATGTAAAAAAATTAATCTTTTATCTATAGAATTTATATATAGAATAAACCTTTAAATTTTCTCGATTTAATTTGATTCTTCTTTTACCTCCTCAACCAAACCATCATAAGTTGCCTCTATGATATTGGCTTCAATAAAATCTGATTAGGTAAAGATATTATTATTTTTGATACTATGCATCAAATAATGCTTTTTATTAGAAACTGAAATATATATTAATGAACTTAATGTAATTAACTTTCTTAAAGGTGTAACATCCGATAATTCCAAGCACTTGAAATAACTGATAAGTAATTACAAAATTAATTAATATCTAACTCCATTTAATAATGATTTCATAAGCTTTAGAATTAGGAACTCTGTAATTATTCTTATCAGCCTACATATCTAATGCAATTAACCAAAGTTATTTATTTAAAGTACTTGATTTCAATAATTCTATTATTGTTTGATCATTTTTAAATTAACCATCATTCCAAATAGAATTAACATGGATTTGGAAAAATTTAAAAAGTCCCTAAACACTTTCTCCATTAATCATATTGTCAACATCCTACTTTTCAATAGATTAATAATTCTACTATTAAAAACAATTAATACATTCTTCTAAACAACATCTGAAAAAATAGTGTAAAATGTGTCAGAATAGGCTTTAATTATATCTTTTAATTTATGATATTCTTAAGATCTTAAAGACTCAATTTCTCTAATTAAAAATGAACAATAATCTTTAAATTCTATCTATTATGGTTAATAATCTGGTCTTGAATATTTCATTATAAAATTTTCAATCTCATCCTAAATATTTGTATTCTTAATTTATTCATTAAACTTTTCAATTTCTTAACATTACTATTTATACATAGAAACTTCTATTAAGAACACTTTTAATAATGTATCCTTATGAACTAATAATTTTTTCTACTCGAATTCTTCCATTTAAATAAGATAACTTTCCATTTTTGTTTTATAAACATCCAAAAATTCATTATAAGTTATAGTTGATAATTAATATTATTTCTTTAATTTAGAACATTCAATTGATATATATTAAGTTCTAAATAATATATGATAATAAAATATACTTGCATATTTATTTTATAGTTTAATCTTCTGGAACATCAAAACTATATTAATAAATCATATCTAAAATTGCAGATTATTCAAAGTCTCTTGATTTTAATTTGTAATCCATCCTTGTAGATAGAACCTAACCTTTTTTTTCTGTTAAAGTCTCTTCCAATAATTTAATTTCATCTATAATTTTATTAGAAATCTAATTCTATTAATTAAGTGTCTCCTTAATCTAATTTTTAATTTCTGTTCTAATTAATTCAATAAAATTTTCAATCTTTGTAATCTTATTTTTCAATTAATTAACTAACTATTCCCTCATAAAAATAAAACTAATTCATAATTTTTGAATTTCATTTACTTTGATTTATCAATTTATAATTATAATTTACTCAAAGCTTTTGCATAATTTTCTTCAATATTAGCTCTTTCCAACATTATTATTAAATATTCTTCTAATCCCTTTTTACTATCTATGTTTTAATTGATTATTTTATCTGATTATCCCTATAGAGATATCAAAAATTAGGAATACAAGTAGATGTGGATAATAAACAAGTTTCTCTCTTTAATTCATTAATAATTTAAAATAATATAGATTGAAAAAGAGAATGTAAAATTGTGGAATAACAAAATTGTTTTGAGAATTCAATATTCTTTTTTCAATTCATAATATTCCTTTTGCTATCTTTATTGATATTTCTTATATCCAGTAAACTCACTTAAATCATTCTCTAAACGATCTAAATATTAATGACAATTTAATACTATAATATGGTTATTTCCTATTATTTGATTTGTTATGATACTTATTATATTCATAGTTATTTCTTCTCTTTTATTACTAAATTATAAATAAATATTTACATATCCATTTTATTAATATCCATATTTAGAATATTATTTTTATTCATACAATTCTACTTAATGTGTTTTTTCTTAATTATTTCTTTCCACAGAATTTTCTTTATTTGATTCTGATTCTCTTGATATTTACATCTAATTGGTTTATGATTGAGAATTTTCAGGATCTACTTCTGTATTTATTATTTCAATAGAATTTTTCTTTTCACTAAATTTTGGATTCTCTTAACCTTCTTGAATTTAAATTTATTGTGTTGGATTCAAATGAGGTAAAAATGAAAACATTGATTATTATTCTTACAAAGGAGCATAATTTAATTCTATTTTTTCATTTGATCTAATTTGATTTAATCTTTAACTTACAATGTCTAAGGAAGTACAATCTTATTATTATTAATAAAATTTCTATTATTAATATTATTTGTATTGATTCTATTAAGGATATTAATGATGTTAAAATTATTATTGTTCAAATTACATATCTTCATAATTTCTTGCATTATTCATTCTTTACTCTTAAAATTATTATTACTTAGATTAAACAATATTTAGGAATCTGTTAAAGAAATCTACTTCCTCCATTCTCGCATTTTGAATTGCAAACTTAAAATTTCATATGATAATTTTACTGTAACTTTGCATTATTATATTTTACTAAAACCTATCTATGCTTCATCTTCATTATCAAATATAATGAAAAATTTTATCAAATCTTTATTTGCTATATACTCTGCTTCTTAAACTTCATATTCCTTTGAAATATCTAATTCTAACAAAAATTTCTTAAATTCATCCACTTGATTCTTTTTGATCAAAATTTACACTTATTTTCTTTCTTTTGCAAAGATGGGTCTAATTACATTGAAAGTTTAATCGAAAATCCAATTACTATAGTTATATTAGATCAATATCTAAAAAGTTAATTTTCAAATTTATACATTGGCTAGAGTTTCTAATCCATATGGATAATCTAGTAATTGTCTAAAGCTTTTTTCTTTGGCTAAACACTAAAGCCTTATACAACCTGTGTTAGGATCAAATTTTCTTAATAGAAAATAGTTTCTGCTTAAGAATTAAAAACTTAAAATACGTCTCAACTATAATAAAATGATTAATATACTTATTAGAGAATATTTTCATCAACAGTCTGCTATTACATGATATTTTTATTTTGAATTCAAAATAATTAATGAAATTTGTTTATACAATAAAATTTGCAAAAGAACAAAGAAATATTATATATATATAAGAATTGATTTGAATGATATTTTAATTAGAATTTTAAGATATTATAATCTTATGGAGATATTGATATAATTTGATAAAATATATATAAATCAAATCATGTTTTCTACAAGGTTATTTATTCTTTCCTCTCTATAACCCCATTCTCCTTGTTTTGTCAAAGGTTTTTTAATTTTACCACTTTTTAATTATCCTTCTGGATGATTTAATTTTAATGGTCTAATAATTATTAAAATAAAATACACTAAGAATTTAGTAACAAAATCAAAATTCTCTGATGCATTTGCAATTGTATTTACTATATCTTCAACACAAATAATATCCTTTTCACTCATATATTCTTCTATGATTTCATTTGATTTTAATGCAATAATTTCTTTTTCTTTCATTATGTGTCCTCTTTTGACAATTAAATCATTGATAATTTATCTTGTTGGTAATCTAAATAAATTTGGAATCAATACCCATAAGTTATATAATTTTCAACTAATTTTAACTTCTTCCAAATATCTACAGTTGTCTTCACAAATACAGCTGTATTAACCTTGTTTAATCTGAATTCCTTCAGTATTTTTTCTTGTTTGTTAGAGATATCTTTAACACTAAAATAATCTAGTTAAAATTTTATACCCTCTAATTCTCACCACAAGTAATGTTTTATTAATTGGAATAGATTTTACATCAAGTGTTTCTAAATTCTATTTACGTTCCTATTTAAGTTATATAAAGAGAATACTTTTCTTTTGAAATAAGAATATGCTGTTTATTATTTACGATATTTATCTACAAACTTTTCAGGATGAATAAAATCCTTAGTCTTTTATTTTTTTTTGAGAATTCTCTCCTTTATTTAACGTGCTCTCTCTTCATTTAGACTTGATTAATGCTTTCTCTTTTTCATTATGTCTGTAAGAACATATTTCTTCCTTAAAATGATAATGAAACATAATACTATGCTTGTGGTATATTATCCATCAACGATTAATTTAAATAAATTCAAAATATGAATGAAACTCAAATCAACCCAGAGAATTATTATAGATTAGAATGTGTAATTGGAGAAGGATCTTATGGCTAAGTTTATAAAGGCATATAATTGGATAATGGAAAGGTAGTAGCTATTAAAATAGTACCATCATCAGGAGAGATTGAATCACTCAAAAGAGAAATTCAAATACTTAGAGATTGTAGATGTGATAATATTGTTAAATATTTTGGATCTTATCATTCAAATGGATAGTTATGGTTAATAATGGAATATTGTTAAGGAGGAAGTGTTATAGAATTGATTAAGTCTTTGTAAAATCCTTTACCTGAAGAAATCATTGCTACAATTCTATATTAAACATTAAAAGGCATTGATTACATGCATAGTCATAAAAAAATACATAGAGATATTAAATGTGGAAATATTCTAATTGATCATTTAGGCAATATTAAATTAGCTGATTTTGGTGTTTCCACTTAATTAGTACATACTATGGCAGACACTGATACAGTTATTGGAAGTCCTTTTTGGATGTCCCCAGAGATTCTATTAAAATCAAGATATAGTAAAAAGACAGATATTTGGTCATTGGGTATAACAGCTATTGAAATGGCAGAAGGTGAACCACCTTATGCACATATACATCCAATTAGAGCAATGTTTGCAATTAAAAATAATCCACCTAACTCTTTAACTGATTAAAGTAAATGGTCAAGAGAATTTAATTAATTTGTTAAAAGATGCCTAATTTTAGATCCAAAGGAAAGACCTTCTACTAAAGATTTATTATAGGATCCATTCTTTTAGAAATACTGTAGAAGTAGAGAATATATTCAATAATTCATTTTAAAATACAAAAAACAAATTGAATCATATAAATTAAGTAAATAGTAGAAGTAGCATGAATAATAATTTTAATTTTCTTAAGAATAAGTAGGAGTTCCATTAGATACTTTAATAGAATGTGAAGAGGAAGAAGATCTAGGAACAATGATTATCAATAATGTTGATGCCATTTAAATGAATGAGACAGGAACTATGTTAGAACATCAATATGAAGATGCAGATATCTATGAGAAAGCTATAAATAGAGTGGTATATATATATATTTTATTTTATTAGTCAGAATATGGATTATCAAGTTTGAATCAGCAGAGAACAAATACTATAATTGAAGAATCACCTATATTAAAAAAGAAATAAATTGAAGATAAAATTAATTAGTTAAATTAAGAGATGCAAAATGAAATTAAATAAGTTAAACTTAAATATGGGGAATAGATTAATTCACTTTAAAAAGCTTTAAATTAAATTGTAGTTTAGAAACATGAAACTCATAAATCTGTGCATGAATAGAAAGGATTTGCATTATCTACTAATTATTTTAAATAATTAGAATAAAAAAATAAATTTTCAGCTCCTTCTACTCCTGTTTAATCGTAAAGCAAATATAGATTAGATCAAGAAAACCTCAATTTGGAAAATCAATTGAAATAAACTAAATATTAATCAACAAATTTACAGTATCACAATATTTAAATTTAGAAAATTATAATTACAAATTCAGAATAGAATAAATGATGTTCCAAAATTAGATAATAGTTAAAAACTAATAAAATAATTAATTAACAGAAAAAATTGATTTTGATTCTTATAAGTTTTTGTCTAATTTTTATTATTTATAGAAATTATGATAATCATTAATTTTAAATATTGATTATAATTAATTGATATTGCATGTAAATTATTATTCTGGTCACAAATTAATTTTAATAACTAAAATGCCTAGAAAAACAAAAGCTCGTTCTCGATTAGATAAATATTACAACCTTGCTAAGGATCAAGGATATAGATCCAGAGCAGCGTTTAAATTGTTCTAATTAAATCGCAAATACAATTTTCTCAACAATGCAAGAACAGTAGTAGATTTATGTGCTGCTCCTGGAGGGTGGATGCAAGTCTGTGCTTAAATAATGCCTACAAGTTCAACCATTATTGGTTTGGATTTAGTTCACATTAAACCAATACCAGGATGTAAAGCATTCACTTAAGACATTACAACACCATAATGTGTATAATTACTTAAAAAGGAAATACCATAAAAAGCAGATGTTATCTTACATGATGGTGCTCCTAATGTTGGAGCTAGTTGGGCTAAGGATGCTTATAACTAAAATGATCTTGTCTTGTCTTCCTTAAGATTGGCATCATAATTTTTAAAGAAGGGAGGAGTATTTGTGACAAAAGTATTTAGATCAACAGATTATAATTCATTAATGTGGGTCTTTAATAAATTTTTTACAAAGGTAGAAGCTACTAAACCTTTAGCAAGTAGATTTGTTTCAGCTGAAATATTTGTTGTTTGTTTAGATTATTTAGCACCAGAATATATTGATGAGAAACTATTTGATTCTAAACATGTGTTTAAAGATACTGAAACAGATATGTTATAGTAATAAATTTAAAAAGAAATTGTTTCTGTTGATAAAATTCTTTAAAAGAGAACTTAGAGACATAGAAGTGGATATGCTGATGATGTTCATTAAACTGTTTATTAAATGATAGATTTTGAAGAGTTTCTTCATGCTGATAATCCATATCCAATATTTATTGAATATGCTGGAATCAAAATGACTGAGGAAGCTAAAGAAAAATATTTGGGTCTTACTAAACCTCCATAAGATTATCAAATATTGATGGAAGATATCAAAGTATTGGGAAAGAGAGAAATTATATAATTATTAAAATGGAGAAGTAAAATCAAGCATTTTTTATCAAAATAAAAGAGAGAATAAAAATAACTACAATAATAGGAGGAACAATAAAGTGCTGAATATGAAGATCTTGATGAAGCTGAAGGAGATAGAGAAGTAAATGAAGAAGAAGAAGTAGAGGAATAAGATGATCTTGAAAAATTGGTAGATAAATAGAAAGAAGCTTTGGAATAATAATATATTGAAGAACAAAAGAAAGAATTAAAAGAATAAAGAAAATAAAAATAAAAATAAGCTTAATAAGAAAAGAAATTAGCTGGAAGAGGAATAGGATTCACTCCTTAAGAAGAAGATTAAGAATTATTTTAATTTTCTAAACATAAGAATTTACTTAAATTAGGTTATGTAGATGTAGAAGATAAATAAGAAGATAAATTAAAGAAAGAGAAATTAGCATTTAATAATTAAAAATAATTAGATCAAAATTTAGAATTAATTTATGAAAATAAAAAATAAAAAAAAGAAAATGCTTTAGAAAGAATTAGAAATAAAAAGTAAGCCTTAGAATCTGAATAAGAAGAAGTTGATGATGAGGATCTTGCTTGTAAACCAATTAAAAAAGTNAGATGTTATCTTACATGATGGTGCTCCTAATGTTGGAGCTAGTTGGGCTAAGGATGCTTATAACTAAAATGATCTTGTCTTGTCTTCCTTAAGATTGGCATCATAATTTTTAAAGAAGGGAGGAGTATTTGTGACAAAAGTATTTAGATCAACAGATTATAATTCATTAATGTGGGTCTTTAATAAATTTTTTACAAAGGTAGAAGCTACTAAACCTTTAGCAAGTAGATTTGTTTCAGCTGAAATATTTGTTGTTTGTTTAGATTATTTAGCACCAGAATATATTGATGAGAAACTATTTGATTCTAAACATGTGTTTAAAGATACTGAAACAGATATGTTATAGTAATAAATTTAAAAAGAAATTGTTTCTGTTGATAAAATTCTTTAAAAGAGAACTTAGAGACATAGAAGTGGATATGCTGATGATGTTCATTAAACTGTTTATTAAATGATAGATTTTGAAGAGTTTCTTCATGCTGATAATCCATATCCAATATTTATTGAATATGCTGGAATCAAAATGACTGAGGAAGCTAAAGAAAAATATTTGGGTCTTACTAAACCTCCATAAGATTATCAAATATTGATGGAAGATATCAAAGTATTGGGAAAGAGAGAAATTATATAATTATTAAAATGGAGAAGTAAAATCAAGCATTTTTTATCGAAATAAAAGAGAGAATAAAAATAACTACAATAATAAGAGGAACAATAAAGTGCTGAATATGAAGATCTTGATGAAGCTGAAGGAGATAAAGAAGTAAATGAAGAAGAAGAAGTAGAGGAATAAGATGATCTTGAAAAATTGGTAGATAAATAGAAAGAAGCTTTGGAATAATAATATATTGAAGAACAAAAGAAAGAATTAAAAGAATAAAGAAAATAAAAATAAAAATAAGCTTAATAAGAAAAGAAATTAGCTGGAAGAGGAATAGGATTCACTCCTTAAGAAGAAGATTAAGAATTATTTTAATTTTCTAAACATAAGAATTTACTTAAATTAGGTTATGTAGATGTAGAAGATAAATAAGAAGATAAATTAAAGAAAGAGAAATTAGCATTTAATAATTAAAAATAATTAGATCAAAATTTAGAATTAATTTATGAAAATAAAAAATAAAAAAAAGAAAATGCTTTAGAAAGAATTAGAAATAAAAAGTAAGCCTTAGAATCTGAATAAGAAGAAGTTGATGATGAGGATCTTGCTTGTAAACCAATTAAAAAAGTTAAGAAATAGGAAGATCATTTAAAGATTTCAGATTTAAAAAGCAAATTCTTTGATAAGGAAGAGTTCTCAAAATTAAAGGAATAACTTAAAACATAGAAAGAGGGTGTATTTGACAATCCTTTAAAAAATTAAAATATAACATAATTAGAAAAGAAGAAAAAAGATAAAACTGATAAGGAATAACATGCTGATAAATTCAAGAATGATTCAGATAGTGATGAACAAGAAGAGAAAGTTATGGATCCAAAATAATTGAAAAATCTATAAAAATAAATTCAAGAAGACTTAAATTAATTAGGTGATAATAAAGATATTGATTTATTGAAAAGGGTTGATAAGAAAGAATTAGAATATTAAAAAAAATTAAGTATTTATTTATAAATCTATTTTAGATACAAAAATTAATTAAGAACCATTACCAGGAGAAGATGAAAAAGTAAAATAATTTGAACTTAATCTCCCTATTTCAGATATGGAAAAAAGAAGAAGAAAACTTAAAAAATTAGCAGCAAGGGAAGAGAAAAGAGCTAAATTAGCATCTGATAAGGATCCAAATCGTAAAGAATTGGAAATAGTAACAGAAAAGAAAATAGAAGATTATGATATTGATTAATTAGCTACTAATCTAGCATTGGCAAAAAAAATGATGAGGAAAAAGACTAGAGAATAAATAATAGAAAATTCATTTGGAAGAGATAAATGGGAAAATGAAGATTTACCTTAATGGTTTGTAGATGATGAAGAAAGACATGTATTTAAGATGGAACCTATTACAAAAGAAGAATTTTAATAAGAAAAACAAAGATTATATGAAATCAATTCTAGAGTACCTAAAAAAGTATTTAAATAATATCATTAATTAAGATTATGGAAGCTAAAATAAGAAAATGGAAGAAGGCTCAAAAGAAACTTAAAACAGCTGCAAAAAAAGCATAGACAGTTTTTGATACTGATGGTATTAATGAAAGAACTAAAATGTAATAAGTGAGAAGAATTTATAATAAAGAAAAAGCAAATATTTAAAAAGAATAAGAAAGAAAAGTCATTGTTGCCAGAAAAGGTTAAGCAAGTGGAAGTATATNTATGTAGATGTAGAAGATAAATAAGAAGATAAATTAAAGAAAGAGAAATTAGCATTTAATAATTAAAAATAATTAGATCAAAATTTAGAATTAATTTATGAAAATAAAAAATAAAAAAAAGAAAATGCTTTAGAAAGAATTAGAAATAAAAAGTAAGCCTTAGAATCTGAATAAGAAGAAGTTGATGATGAGGATCTTGCTTGTAAACCAATTAAAAAAGTTAAGAAATAGGAAGATCATTTAAAGATTTCAGATTTAAAAAGCAAATTCTTTGATAAGGAAGAGTTCTCAAAATTAAAGGAATAACTTAAAACATAGAAAGAGGGTGTATTTGACAATCCTTTAAAAAATTAAAATATAACATAATTAGAAAAGAAGAAAAAAGATAAAACTGATAAGGAATAACATGCTGATAAATTCAAGAATGATTCAGATAGTGATGAACAAGAAGAGAAAGTTATGGATCCAAAATAATTGAAAAATCTATAAAAATAAATTCAAGAAGACTTAAATTAATTAGGTGATAATAAAGATATTGATTTATTGAAAAGGGTTGATAAGAAAGAATTAGAATATTAAAAAAAATTAAGTATTTATTAATAAATCTATTTTAGATACAAAAATTAATTAAGAACCATTACCAGGAGAAGATGAAAAAGTAAAATAATTTGAACTTAATCTCCCTATTTCAGATATGGAAAAAAGAAGAAGAAAACTTAAAAAATTAGCAGCAAGGGAAGAGAAAAGAGCTAAATTAGCATCTGATAAGGATCCAAATCGTAAAGAATTGGAAATAGTAACAGAAAAGAAAATAGAAGATTATGATATTGATTAATTAGCTACTAATCTAGCATTGGCAAAAAAAATGATGAGGAAAAAGACTAGAGAATAAATAATAGAAAATTCATTTGGAAGAGATAAATGGGAAAATGAAGATTTACCTTAATGGTTTGTAGATGATGAAGAAAGACATGTATTTAAAATGGAACCTATTACAAAAGAAGAATTTTAATAAGAAAAACAAAGATTATATGAAATCAATTCTAGAGTACCTAAAAAAGTATTTAAATAATATCATTAATTAAGATTATGGAAGCTAAAATAAGAAAATGGAAGAAGGCTCAAAAGAAACTTAAAACAGCTGCAAAAAAAGCATAGACAGTTTTTGATACTGATGGTATTAATGAAAGAACTAAAATGTAATAAGTGAGAAGAATTTATAATAAAGAAAAAGCAAATATTTAAAAAGAATAAGAAAGAAAAGTCATTGTTGCCAGAAAAGGTTAAGCAAGTGGAAGTATATTTTTTAATTTTATTTTAGAATTTAAAAGTTCAAGGAAAGTTCTAACAGTTGATAAAAGATTGAAAAAAGATAAAAGAGCTATGAAAGCTAAGGCAAGAATTGGAAAAGGAAAAAAGAGAAGACAAGTTACAAGAAGAAAAGGAAAAAAGTAGAAGTCTTGATTACTTCTGTTTATAGTATATTAAATCAAACAAAGTAATTTGTATTATATTTGAATTCCCCTTCATTATAATCATAATATAATATCTCTCCTGATTTTATATCTCTGCATGCATACAATATCACTCTAGACTATCCTTCAACATTATATCGTCTAGATTTCACATTTTATTATATTTTCTTACTATTTTTTTTACTATTATTAATTCCTGATAAGTATTTTGCTATATTTCCATTCTTTTCTGGTATTATAACAAGTGATGTTGCAGCAAAACCAGTTTCTAATAAACTCATCATTGAATCTGAAGTACTATATACTTGATCTGCAAATCTATATACATCACCAGCATATTCACAAATTAAGGTTTTATAAGCTATAGGTTATACAGATCTAACATAAAATCCCTAATCTGAATTATATTCTACTATCAAAGGACCATAAAACCCACTCTTTGTTACTTATTTGTATTTTTTAAAGGTTATAAGATCTTTTCCTATTAATGAATCTAGTTTTTCATTGTAACCATTATTTAATTCTTTTTTGATAGATGAATAAACTAAATCATCATTAAAATTAATGTTTTAACAATATAAGGCATATTATAGTGATTGAAAGCAATTCTATCTCAGTTTATCATTATATACACAACATGGTAGTATGAATAAATTAGAATTTGTCATTGGAACACTAAAATTAAGAAGTTGATTCATTTTTTCATTAAAATTAATTTTAGATGGTTTTTAAGAATGACAAAAGTTACAAATAGGGGAAATAGTTTTTGATCCATAACATTTTTTATGAAATATTTTATTACATTTTGAACATATTTCTTCATCTTTAGTATCTACTTCTTTTTAGCATTTCTAACAAATATTATCTGTTTCTGCATCATTAGTATCTGGGAAAGTATTTTTCAATTCAATACAATGTGCACATGTCCAATCTTTCTATATTTATTTTGGTCTCTAAATTTATTCTCATATTTAATACCATACAATTAAAATGATAAGCATCTTCACAAATTACACAATTTGCATATTTTTATTTAATAATCCATATTTTGCATTTAGCACATACAGTGTTTTTTTTAAATTCTTGTAATTTAGGTTTTGAAGATTCCTTCATATCTGACATAGCTATTGGAAGTGTAATACTTTATTCTTTCATTTCTTTATGAAGTTTTTAGATTTGATTTATAAGTATAATATAAATAAATATATATAATATGTCTGATTACGATAACTAAATAAATGGAGATAATGATGATAACGATAATATGGTTAATAATTCTTAAGAGAAGGAAGAATAAGAAAAAAAGGAATATTTCAAAGAACTTGTTGTTAGATTAAAAGAAGTGTAGGCAAAAATTAAGTAAACTAAGACTGATATTGAAAATGAGAAATAAGTATTAAATATTAAGTGATTAGAAATTAGTTAAGATAAGATGCTGCAATCAAATTAGAAGAAAAAAGAGAACATATCAAAAAACTCTTGATTAAATAAAATTAAACAACAACTGATGTATATTTTCTAATATTCAATAGAAAGTTGAAGCATTGATTAGAGACACACTTGAAAATCTTGTTTAACAGACTTTATAAAAATAATAAGAACTTAGAGATCTTAAAGAAAGCGAAAAAGAGAGATCTTTTTTAAATTATGAATTAGAATTACAATTTAGAAATTTAAGGTGTTATTTTATTTAATTAAAATAGAAAATATGTCAGTGATGTTAGATAAGAATTGCAAGAAAGTGATTAGCATGCTTAAAAATTAAAAATATAAATATAAAAATAAACTAATACTAATTTACTCTTAAGAACTGATGTTGATGAAAAATCATAAAAGATATAATAATTAAAATAAGAGGCTTAATAATTAAGAGCAACAATATAAAATTTAAATGATGTTAAAAAGGTTATCAATAGAGTTTCAGATTAAGAATAAATTATTATTGAAAGTAATGTACAGAAAAAACCTAGAAATTCTTAGAATAATAAGTCTGCCTCTTAATAAAGAGTAAATTATAATACGCATGATGTTGATGATAACTTTTGGTATGGTGAAAAGTAATTAAAACTACCATCAGTTCAATCAACCAGAAAAAAATAATGAATAAATTAATATTTTATAGTTCACTTCTTAATAAAGTCATCATTAAAATTTTATTAGTGAAGGCTTTCTAGTATATCGGTAGTATGCATGCTTAGGGTGCATGTGAGCCGGGTTCAATTCCCGGGAGAGCCCATTTTTTTTGTTATCATTAAGTTTTAATAAAAATTTATAAGCAACAAAAAAAAAGTTAAATTTGAAATTCATTATTTAGAAATGCTAATTTCTTTTTTAAATTCTAAATGCAATTCACATATTTGATTCTACTTTAAAAATAAGAAATAAAAAATCTGAATATATATAATAATTTTTCAAAATTAATTGATCCTTTTATTTAGAATTATTAAAATTATTACAATATTATTGATTATTTTAGAAAGAAATCATTTTGTATCAGAAATTAAAGGCATTTTTGATTTGACTTTGAAAAAGGAAAAGGAAAAGAATAAAATGAACTAATTACGATTAAATTACTATACAAAATATTCATATATTGTAATCTCCTTATTATCTTTTTTTATAATAGTAAATCTTCAAATAATATTTATATATTCGATATTTTTTGGATTGTAATGACATCAAAGTGAAATTGAGTCTATATTAATAAAATTAAGGAATATTGATGATATAGGATGTAATAAATAGCTTTATAATTTTATGTAGATTTCATTTTAATTTAAAAATAATTCTCTAAATTTTGAAGCAAAAGTAACTACATTCTAGTAAAATAGTTGATTTAAGAAGACATAGGATTATTGAGAAAATGTAACCTAAATTATCTTAATTTTGGTAAAATACTTCAGCAATTATTATAAATGTTGCTTAAGAAATTTAGAAAGTTTACAAATAATAAATATATTAAGGATTAAATAATAGATAATAATATATTAAAAATCAAATCCATGCCAATTCTTTATATCCACAAGGATTTTTGTTTTTATATTAAGGAGTGGTCTTCTATTTCATTGATTAAAGGAATGTTTCATATTCTTATTGAGTATTCTTCTTGTTAAAATAATCAATTTAATTTTAGTAGATACGCTAGGGATTCATTAGATAAGATTTTAAAGGTTCTTCTACTTTAAAGAGCCAAAATTCAATAAACACAATTTAATTTGGATTAACTTGTGTTCTTTTAAACATCTACCTTTATTCGACTACACATTTATATTAGGTTCCTTCATATGTATTAATTGGGGTTTCAAAAGTGCGAGCAGATTAAATGGAATTAGCTGATAAATCACACCAAATTTTGAGAGATGGTCCAAGATCAAAAATAGATGGGAGAGTCTTAGTTTCATGTAAATGATTAAGCATCATGTCTCTACTTACTCCCATTAAAGTATAAAATTATTCGTTAACAATTCTTTAAGAAAGTGAACTAGAATCTTTGTTCACCTTTTGGATGGTACATTGATAAGGATAATCTTGAGCAATTTATTCGACATTAAGTAGATCTTCATTAGAAATGTATGGCTATTCAGTGAAATCATTTAATATTTAATGACGTTCTTGTACTAGTTTAGCAGCTAATTGGGCATGTGGATCTGATTAGTTAAATAACAAATTGGTTATCTAATCGATTGAATAATTGGCTTGGTCAAGTAATTCGAGAGTATAAAAATAGACGTCATCCAATTGGTCGGTACGTGAGACTCTATAATTGTAGGTACAAGGAGTTTCTTTTAAACCTCCTAAACAGTGGTCAGGAATGTATGAAAGAGCCAATTTAAGTTCAACATTTGATTTAATGTAGACATGTTCTTTAAATGGTTTGGGTATTGACACTAAGCACACAAGTTGTTTAATTGGTTGACGTTTTCTTGTTTAGTTTTCTAAGTTTAAAATGAGACTTACTTTTTTTTTTAATATCCTTTGATAAGATAGAGTGAGTTATGGACTCATCATGCATCCCTACTCTTTATCTGACAATGAGACTCATTATTGAAAATTAAATAATTATTATATAATAATTTTGCAAATCATTCGGATATAATTGAACTTTATCATCATAATTACTTTTTTTTATGCAAATCCAAATGTAAAATTTAATTATAATATCAATGATTCTAATATTAATTTAAAGTGTAATTATAATTATTATAAATGATTAATTTTATAAAAAATGACAATTAAGAGTATACATAATTAATCAATGACATAATAATACATAAAATAAAACTAAAAATAGTTGGATGATTATTTCTGAAAAAATATAATTTTTATTGTTTGAAAATCTAATTGACAAGCATAAACTATATAAGCTAAGCTGCCACCCGTTTTCTCTTTGTTTATGAGTGACCTTGACAAACAGATTTATGAATTAATCTTATGCTTCGAATGTCACTCTCCATTAGATTAAAGGAAATGAGTTTTCTATATGATGTTATATATGGTTAATTTAATATTATGGGAAAAACATTAATATTAAAATGGATCAAATTTTGTTTTGTATAAATGAGAAATGCACTTCTTAATCAAGATTATTATTAACTATGGCAGATGTACCTAAACATAATGACAAATCTCATAAAGTTGTATAATTTAAGGAGTTCAAATCATATATAATGGAAAAATATGGAGATGCAGATTTGTAGAAAATATAGAAAATCACAAGCAATGAAAAAGCTATTAAAGATGCAATTTCTAAGATAATTAAAGAAGTAAAAGAGAAGTTGGATTTGTTTGAAATTAATGAAATTAAGTATAATTGAAAGATTAACATAAATTATAGGAAAATGCCAAGTTTACAATAACTTTCAGAATATGTATGGACAGTAAGGAAAACAGAAAATCTAAAAGATATAACAAGTGATTTGTTAAAGACTGTTGTAGAATTCTAAGTAGAAAAGATTCCTAAATACGGTTTCATTTTAGAACAGATAGATGATCGTATGAATAAGTTGAAAACTGAAGTTATTGGAATGTTGAAAGCTTAACAATATGATTTATAGATTACTACATTAGGTAATGTTAAATATACATGGAGTGATCAATTTAAGGCCAATATTTATGCTATAAAAGATGAAGCAAAAAAAGAGATTGAGGCAACAAGTATATAATTCTTAATAATATTAATAGCATCATTTATGGGATGGTCATTTGCATGCATTTAATAATAGTTGACATCTTAAAAAAGATGGGAAGCAAAATTAGAGATTAGAGTAAGTGAATCTGATTAAAAGAATTTATAAGCCAGTTAATTGGGATAATCCTAATTAAAAAAACAATCTTACAGTTTTGCAATTGGAATAACACTCTAAAAATTAAGACAATAAAAAGGACTTGAATAATAAGATTTAGCTACTGTAGGTCATGGCTTTTATTTAATTAGATCTGATGGATGTAATAAATATTAATATCTATATGAAAGGGACTTGTCATAATTCAGATAAAAATATAAATTGGAAATAAGGATTAGCATTCACTCCAGAACCTAAAGATGTCATACTTATTAAATTTGATCCTAGTGATGGTGATCTGGTATTTGAATAAGGCAAGAATAAATACTAAATGAAAGTGGATAGAATTTAAAATGATGTGTTTCTATTCTGTGTACACTTAAAAGGATGTAAGGCCAAGATATTGGATTGAGAGATAAACAATATATATATATATATATAATATTTCAAATTTTGAAATTATGATTGAAGAGGAGGGATAACAACTTAAAAGTTAATTAGAATAACAACTCGTTGAAGCCATTTTAGATTCTCTTTAAAATCATATGGATCAAAATGCCACCTTTTTAGGTAATCATTTCTTTATTATCATCTATTCAATAGCTGAAAGATTGGTTTATGAGAGAGACACTGAAGAGTTTAGGTCTTTATTGGCTGAATGTTATTTATAAGAGAATTAGCCATATAAAGCTTGTCATATACTTAAAGACTGCAAATCTGAATACAATCGGTAAAAAAACTAGTTAATACATTTAGTTATTAATATGCAATGTCGTTATTTCGAAATAAAAAATATAAGGAAGCTGAAGTTGCTTTAGTTGGAACTTAATTTAGTAATCAATTTTCTATTTAAACTCCAAATGTACCAAATGGAGGATTTGGTTATCTTTTGTTAGGTTAGATTTTAGAATAACTTCATCGTATTGATGAAGCTAAACATCAATATTATAGGGCATTAGATTAGAATCCAACATTATGGATGGCATTTGAAAGACTATCTAAAATTGGGGAATCTGTCACTATTAATAAGGTTTTTAATGATCAGAAATAAAAATAATATGAAATAAATAGATAATAAAGTTGCAATATCTACAAGATAATATAAAATTTATTGAAAAATAAGTCACCAAATTTGAAATCAGGATAAAAAGAAGAAGATATTAAAGAAGAGGCCTAAATTAATGATACTGTAAATTAATACTCTATATATTAATAGTAAATTTCAAGCAAAAGATAATCCTAAACAATTAAACCATTTTCAACAACTGGTGTTCAGTAATCAATTGTTCATATGGATGATAATTCAAATAGTTAAATGAAATTCATATGTAATTTAAATTATTAATATTTAAAAATAGAACATCAATAAAAAAAAATAAGTGCTAAAATGGTACCAACACCTGGAGTAGGATATTAAAATTATTAATCATTACTTAGTTAATCTTTTTAATTCTCATAAAATTAAAATAAGAATTTCAATCCAAAAAAAAGTGATATTCAAAAGGTTAATACAGCTGCTATTTAATAATCTCCAAGTCTAATCAAGTATGAATTTTATAATTTTATTAGTCTACCATAACTTTTGAAATTGTTTGCTCACCCTTATAATTTATGGACAAATTATTAAATTGAAGCAATTTCTAATTTCTAAAAGCTGCCTCCATAACATTATAGATCAGGATGGGTACTTGAAAAAGTAGCTAGAAGTTTTATGGATTAAGTTAAATATGCTGATGCAGAGAGAGTTTGGAAGGAAATGAAATAAATTGAACCAAATCGTTTAGAAGGAATGGATTATTATTCATCTTGTTTATGGCATCTAAAAAAATAATCAGAATTAACATACTTAGCACATTCATGTTTGTAAATTAGTATGTAAGCACCTGAAACATGGATAGCTATTGGAAATTGTTTTAGTTTAAGTAAAGAAATAGACAATTCAATTAAATTTTTTGGAAGAGCAATTTAATTAAGAAAAGATTATTCATATGCTTATACCTTATCAGGACATGAATTCTCATAAAATGAAAATTTTTAATAAGCTAAGAAATCTTATGATATGGCCACTTCTTTAGATTAGAGACAATATAATGCTTGGTGGGGATAAGGAAACATGTATTATAAGACAGATAAATATGATGATGCCATTAGATGTTTCACTTAAGCTTTGAAAATAAACTCAAACAATCCAGTTTTACCAACATTTTTGGCTATGAGTTATGCTGCCAAAGGAGAACATAATGAAGCTTTGAAATATTTTGAACAAAGTGAAAAATTAGATCCATAAAATGGATTAAATAAATATTAGAAAGTATTTATATTATAATAACATTATAGGCAAATTCATTAATAAAATTAGATGATTATGATAAGGCTTTAAGTGAATTATAGAGATTAAGAGAATTGATACCTAAAGAAGCAGCCATTTATATTTTGATGGGAAGAATCTATAAGAAATTAGGGAAGATTTAAGAAGCATAAAAGTATGAAGGATTATTTATATTGTAGTTGTTTCAGTACTGCAATATCACTTGATTAAAAAGATTCTGCTAAGATCAAAGGACTTATGGAGAGTTTAAATAATCCTAATAGTGAATTCAACGATGATTTTGATTTATGACATGATTTATCAATAAATGTGCTCATCTACGGCAATTTAGATAAATTCTTTCTTGTAATCTCCAACTGATTCTGCTCCTGTTGCCAATTAATTAATGCGAGCAGTTCGTACTAAGAATTCTTGTAATTCTTCTTTTTCACATAATGTTTCTAATGATAGACGTCTAATCCAATCAAATCCTGAAAAGGCAATTCCTGTCAAGAACATATATTTAGGATATTGATGACATTCTAATATTTGATTGTTACTTTACTATATAGTAAGGGTTGTCTTATTACTCTACTTACTGTCATTCTGATACCCATTCCAAATAGACATCCGAATATAAAAGCACTTTCCATTATATTTAATATATATTTAATATGAACTGACTGATATTATTTTAAAATTCAAATATTAAATAATGAATAGACTCAATTCATAACCTAAAACAAATAATCAAGGTCGTATGACTCCAAATGAATATATGATTCATAAGAACATTCCTTTACCTAATAAAGCTAAATATCCTCATGCAGACTCAGAGGCATATATGCATAAATCTGAGATCATTCATTAGAATAACAGTAGTAATTACTCACATAGTTCAGAAGGGAACAATCTTTAAAAAATAATTGAAGAAAAGAATAGGGAAATTGAATTTCTAAAGTAGGCAGAAGCTTAAGGCAAAATGTTAACTACTTAATTCTAGGAAATGAATTAAAATCATTAATAGGAGGTTAAATAATTGTTAGAGTAGATTCAAAATTATAAATAGAGGAATATTGATTTAAAGAGTCAAGTTGAATAATATATGACAGAACTAAATAAATCAAATTAAAAATATTAGGAATGTTATAAAGAAAGAGATGAATATCTCAAGAATTTTAGAGAATATTAATAAGATTATGATATAATAAAAATGTAATTATAAGGAAAAGATGCTGAGATTTTATAATTGAAAGAAAGAATTTAAAATATGGAAAATAATTATTAATAAGAATTAACTTAATATTCATAAACTAATGAATATTGGAAGAGATCATTAATGGATACTTAAATTAGAGAGATTACATAATAATTTAATTAAGATAGAATGTAATATGATATGAAAATAAAAAATTTAGATAATAGAAATGTTGAATTAGAAAATAAATGTGTATTATTAGCTTAAGAAATGGAGAGAATGCGTTTTAAAGATTTAGAATAAAATAAAATAATAACAAAAAATTTATAAAATGAAAATAATGAATTAAAAACATAAATGTTAGAAATGATGTAATTTGTATAAAGATATGAGGAAAAGATTAATTAGATGGAATATATTGAAGATTAAGAATAAAAAGATAGAATGAGAATAATTGTTTTGAGTTCTGAGATTGATAGATTACATTGTGTAATTGAAGAATAAGAATAAAAGAGTCAAATATTTTTATAATAGATTTAGAATTTAGAATAATATGAAATATAATGTAAATAATTATAGGAATAATAATTATAATATAATCAGTTGTAATTATAATTATAATAAGAAGTTATTAAAAATTAGAATACATAATAAGATTTTGAATATTTATAATAGGAATGGACACATAGAAATTAAGAATTATAAGATAAATGTGCAATGTTAACAACTGAACTTGAGAGATTAAATCTAGTAATGAGAGATAATTAGAATTATAATAGGAATTATTAATATGAAATTGAAAAATTCTAAAAATAATTATAGGATTATTCTTAAATTATAGAATAAAAATCTAATATGATTTTATAATAAGAAATAGAAATAAGTAATTATTAATAAGAATCTATGTTATTGAATAGTGATAATGATAATCTTAATATGAGAATTACTTAATTGGAAGAAGAAATCTAGGAAATTAAAGATTAAACATAATAAGAAATAAAATAATAGATTGATCATTATTAAAATGAGTTGAATAGAAATATATATAATTATAATTAAGTAAATAAAGATAAATTGGAATTATAGACATAATTGGAAATAATCAATAGAGAATACGAAACACTAATTATCACATGTAAATAAAAAGATATTGAAATTAAAGATTTACAAGATTAAATGTAATAAATGGAAGATAAATATTAAATAGAATTAAGTGAATTAAAGTAATAAGGAGAATATTTGAGAAGATCTATAATTGATTAATAAATTAAAGAATTAACTTAAAAATTCAATAATGATAAATAAGTACTTGAGATTTAGATTAGATAATTATAGTAATAAAAATAGTAAGTAGATTTATAAAATTCATTGTTGTAATAAAAACTCTAAGAATTATAATACACAATTGATGATCAATTAGAGATTTAAAAATAAAAATTATAAACAAGTGAGAAAGAAAGGATTAATTTATTATAAGAAATTAAGGATTATTAGATAGAATTGCAAATGGTATCTAATGAGAGATAATAAATGAGAGAGGATTTTGTTAAAGAAAGAATGAAAATTGTAATTTATGCCTCTGAAATTGATAGATTATGGAGTGTAATTGAAGATTAGACAAATTAATTAAAATAATAAGAAGAATTATCAAATGAGAATATATAATAATTAAAATTAAGTATGTAATAATACCATAATACTATATATTAAATGGAATAAGAAAAAAATAATCATTTAAGAGAAAATAATTTAAAAGAATAGAGTTTAGAGAATAAAATGATTATGATAACTAATGAATTAGATAAAGCAAAAAATTAATTATATGAAGAACAAAGTAAAGGATATGAATTGGAAATAAAGTAGAAATAATTACTTTAGGAGATAGAAGAATTATATTAATAAATAGAATAATATTAATCTGAAATTACTATAATGTAAAAGAATGGATTAGAAATAAGTGATTTAGAAACAAAATTTCAAGCAGAAAAGATGTCATGGGAAACACAAAAATATTAATTAACTAATTAGATTTAAGATTATGAATAAAGAATAATATTATTAAACTAAGAGATAAAGAGATTAAATACAATTGGAGATGAGAGATTACATGAAATTGAAGAATTAAGATTCAAATTCAGAGATACTTAATTAAATGAAAACTATGAACAATTAAAAACAGCATATGATATATTAGAATAATAAGTAATGGAATTTGAATAGAACAATTTGAAATTGAAATCTCATACATAAACTTTAGAGAAATAGATTTAATTGTTAGAATTATCATTATAAGATAAATCAAGAGAAGTTGAAGATATATATAATTTAATGAATAAATAAAGAAGACAGAGTGAATCTACAAATAAAGATGCAGAAAATAATAGAAGAACATAATAATAATTATAATAAACTATTTAAAATTTAGAATAATAGAATTAATATTTAAAAGAATAATTATAAAATGTCACTAATGAAAATTAAAGCTTGTAATATTTATTTATATATATATTTTAGATTATCATAAATTTAATATCTATAGAATAGTCTACATGAGAGAGATTAAATGATATAAAAGATGAGTAATGAATTGACTGAAAAGATTAAAGAAATTGATTCATTAAAAATCAAATATGAACAAAAAATGAATAATCCCACCATTTAATCAACTATAATAAGAGTAAATTAATTTATATATATATAGAACTCTTCATTAACTAGATAAATCATTAAAACTGAGTAAGAGAATTTTATTACAGAATCTATTATTAAATCAAAAAATTCTTCAAATTAATTATCAATTGTAAGACCTCCAAGATAAGTGATGTCTTAAATCAATACAGATATAAATAATTAGTAAGAATGATTGAGTTTCACTTTAATTTAATATTAAAAATAATGTCTCAATATGTCTAAGCTTCAATTTAATACTCTTTTCCTAAAGATAAAAGATTTAAAAGACTACATACTCCTTGTTCAACAGACTATTATGAACCAAATTATTTTAGGAGTACCAGAGCCTCAGGATTTGGATATGGCAATAAGTTTGATTTCACTAAAGTCTAATCTTATACTGAAAGTTACTATGATCCTACTAGTTCATTTTCAAATAATAAAGGTGCATCCTTTGGACTTAGTAGAAACATGGTAAAAAACAGATCTTATTTGCAAAATAATAATGTTCCAGGTCCAGGATCATATTATCATAGTCCACATAAAACTACTAGTTATTCAATTGGATAGAAAGTTGATGTTTATCATAATATAACAGAAATACCTGGTCCTGGTGCATATGATCCCAATATTCATAAGAACAGAAGTATTTCTATTAACAAAGGTCCTGATAGATTCTCAACTGAATCTACATTTGTTCCAGGGCCTGGAGAATACAATACATAACTTTTACAAACAAAAACGAAATGTAGATTTGGTAGTGCCAAAAGAAAGTGTTTTATTGATGATGCTGTTAGAGCAGCTAAAAAGAGTGGAGGTATTAATAAATCTATATAACTTTAATAGTTCCTGGACCAGGTAACTATGCATCTATTACATAATTTGTACAATTAGATAAATAAAAGAGCAGACCATCTACTGCAAAACATTGAATTTTAATATACTTTACATAAACTTTCCTAAAAAAATGATTTAAATACTTTTTGCTACTCAGACAGGAAATTCTGAATTCTATGCTGAAGAAGTAGGTAGACATATATCGAAAGCAATTGTTTCTTCAATTGAGGACTTCGATTTCTTAACACTTCCTGAATAGAAGAGAGTGATTTTCATTATATCAACAACAGGAGATGGAGATATGACTAATGATATGATCAAATTTTGGTAGTTTCTTTTGATTAAAGATTTGCCAAAAGAATCTCTAATCAAACTTGAATTCACTGTTTTTGGACTTGGAGATTCTTCATATCCTAAATTCAATTACGCAGCTAGAAAATTAAGAAGTCGACTTTTATAATTATCTGCAAAAGAATTTGTACCCAGTTCATTTGGTGATGAATAACATCCTTGTGGTATTGATACAGAATTTGTTATTTGGTTTGAGAATCTTTTAAAGAAATGTGACACTCAGAACACTATTTCATAATATATAAAAATTGAATAAGATGATATTAATGGATAGTAAAATAATGTTGATTAGTTTGACTTTAAGTTTATTAATAAAAAAAGGTTGAGTGCTGAGTAGCATAGTAAGGAAACATATTAATTTAATTTTAAATGTAATAAATTATATGAATGTGGTGATATTTTATGTATAAAACCAAAAAATTAGAATAAATTGGTTTAATAATTTTTAGAATTGCTTAAATTAAATGGAAATAAATGGATTAAATTAGAAGAGCTGAAATAAAATTAAAAATCAAAGAAGATTCCAAAAATTATATCTATTCATTAATTATTTTCTGAATTGTATAAAATTGATTTATTAATTTTAGTTTGGATATCACATCTCCACCTAATAGATATTTTATCAAATTAATGAGCCAATTTGCAGAAAAAGACATTCATAAATAAAAATTAACTGAAATGTGTGCTTAAACACCTGAAGGTTTAGAAGAATATTATAGTTATGTTTATAGAGAAAAGAGAAATGTTTATGAAGTTTTATATGATTTCTAACCATGTGTTATTCCATTAGAATTATTAATAGATTCTTTAAAATTAATTAGAGAGAGATAATATTCAATAAGTTCTGCTTATAATGGTGAATAAATAAGTATAACAGTTGCATTAGTATCATATACAACAGGTAAAAATAGACAAATCAAAGGATTTTGCTCAAATTATCTTGAAAATTTGTAATATGATGAATATATAGAGGGTAAAATAATAAAAGGAACTATTGGATTTCCAAAACAATTAGAAATTCCAGTAATAATGGTTGGTCCAGGAACTGGAGTGGCTCCATTCATAGGATTTATTGAATAGAGATTAAAATAAGGAGCAAAAAATAAAGAGAAAACAATTTTATTTTTTGGATCTTGTTATGAATAAAAGGAATTCTATTATAAAGAATTCTTATAAGAATCTCCAATTACTTTATTTACAGCATTTAGTAGAGATCAATAAAGAAAGATATATGTATAACATAGAATATTGGAAAGTAGAGATTTAATTAATAAAATTGTAAAGGAAAATGTTTAGAATGTGATGTACATTTATATATTGATTATGAATTTAGGATTATTGTAACTGGAACATCAAAAAAAATGCCAAATTAAGTTGAGTCAGTTTTTAAAGAATGTTTAGGTGAATAAATGGTTTAGGATTTAAAAAAGAGAAAACAATATTTAGTTGAGTGTTGGTGATACATACAGACTTATTAATATAAATTATTTTCACAAAACCGCAGGGTTCTTATTTAATGGTTATATCAGATCATTTCTTGGTTTAAAATAGTCAATAATGTGGTTTATAGCTCCAATTATCATTACACTTATCCAGACTACAAAAATGTATGCACAACACATTGTAAATAGTTCAATTTCTCTACATTTAGATTTTGCAGTAAAGAAATGTTGTTTGATTCCATAGAGCATAGATATAACATCAAATATAATCACTCCTCCAAAGAAGACAAATGTATTAATTGTAATGCAAACAGCTCCAAATTTTCTAGTACATGTATCTAATAAATTACATGCACTCAAAAATTGGATTATGAATATGATTCCATATCTAAAATATTAATATAGCAATTACACAATCAAATTTCCATATAAGATAAAATGAAGAAATCCAATTCCTTCAGGATCATTACATTGAAAATCTTCTGTCACTATTTTATCAGCACAAATTGAAAAGACAAGAAATATGAAATTATTCAAATGCACTAAAGAATTTATATCTAATCTCTATGCCATTTCCATTATATTATATTTATATAATCATAGTTATGCATATTTCATCAATTTTTCCTTGTAATAGTAGTATTGATTTTAACTAACGAATAGTTAGTAATCTAACAGTGTTAATAGTTCCTATTCCAAAGAGTTTAGCTCTTAAAGTGTTATCCCCCCAACTCTAGAATAGTAATCATTCTTGTAATAGTCATCATCGTTGTATTTTATGCTCAAAAGTATGCAAGCTAACATAAATCTATAGTTTATATATAAATTTCAACCTATGAACACAATAACTATTTATAACAACATCTGAATTCATCTCCTGTACTCTATCTATATAAATTAACGCCAATATGAAACACTCATTGCTGCAATAAGAGTATATCTTAATACGTTCGATATACTTGTATATAGTAATTTATGGTTTTTTATTGGTGTGAAAGACTGTTTAAATTGGACTTTCTATTATGTCTGTCTCTTAGACAATTTCATCTAAAACCTTTGCTATTGCATAAATAATATTATCTTCTAGGGATTCCTCCAATCCTCTTTCCATAACAACACTCATTTTTCCCAAAAGATATATATATGTGTATAAATTATATATATTATTTAATATTAAATTATGATATGATATTAAAACTTTGATAACAGATAATTCTGTCAAATTAATCAAATATTAAACTAGTTAAATATATGCCTTATAATTTTTAAGCTTAAGAAATCTTAATTTTACTATATATTAGAATAATTAAAATCTTCTAAAATTGATATGCATTAATTAACTACCAAACTTAATTTTAATTACTATACTTACATCAATCATATCGCATTTTGATATAATTTTATTTCAATAATATGAGATTAAGAAGCTGTATAAAATTTTTATATTCTCAATACAAATTATAGAACCATTAAAATTATTTTATATTTTTATTTTAGATTGTTCTTTCTTATATCGTAAAGATCATTTTAATTTCAATTACATTAAATTCATTGAAGAATAAGTTTAGATCGAACTTCTAACAAATAAAATCATCTTTAAAATTGATTTTGCATTCAACTAATAATGAAAATTTTCAGTTCAGTAGAGAAATACAATTTCAAGGAACAATATTATTTATTTCTTAAATTTACCTTTAAATGGGTTGTAGATGTATGAAAGAAAAGAATAAAAAAAATGACTTGGTTAGTGAGTTTGTACCTAGTCTTATATTAAAATCAGATAATAAGGTAACTGGAATTATTGCCCTAAATTGTTCAGATAAAGATTAAAAAGATGTAAAAAGGGTTTAGATTAAATATTAGAAAAGTTTGTCAATATGATTATGACATTTATTTTATTTATATTGTTTATATTATACACAAATTTAGTATGAAAAATCTTTTGTAATTTTCTATTCAATTTTTAACATTTATATATATATATAAGGAAGTTTAATGAATCAATTGATTTTTAGAGATAAAATGCCTTAAAATGGATTCTTGAAGTTATAATAAACTGAATGATAATGTAACAAATTATGTTTTATTTCTAAATCCTGATTTTCTAATTCCATTAATTAAAGCTAATCTTTTATTGGCATAATATCATCATTAATTATAAATGCATCAAAAGTTGAAAGTTTGTTTTATTTCTTTTAAGATTATACACTTGAATCAGAATTTAAAAAATCAACCTATACACTTTAATGACTTCCAAAAGAGTGTTACATACTACTTGATTGTTGACTATTGAAACAGGAAGAGGCATTTGAGTCAACATGAAAAGTAATTGTATGAAGATGTCTTGAACTCATTTTGTCAGCAGATCTACAATATATTAAATAAAATACAGTTTTATATGCTAAACACTATCATATTTATTTTATTTCTAATTATTATTATTATTTTTTTTATCTTAAATAGTTTTCGAATTAACAAATTAAGTATTTGACCAATCAAAGATCATATATTATTTATGATTAATTTTCAACTAAAAAATAGACTTTAGTTTTTAATAATTTGGAATTTATTGATGATTTAATTATGCTACTTAAGTCATATAACTAAATTTTTATTTTTATTATTACTTTAATAATTATTAAGGACAACCTTCACAAATTTCTTATGGTTTTATTTCATATTTTAATTAACCAATTCTTTCTAAACGATCATTTTCACTTTTCTCATAATTAGACCATGGTAATTTCTGTTTTAGAAGATATATCAAAACATAACCTAAAGATTCTAAATCATCTCTTTTAGATTGCTCTAAACCTCTATGAGCAGTTACACTAGCATATCTACTGGTTCCAATAAATGGAATTTTGGCTTTACTTTATTTCTTACTTTTTACAAAATCTTTTGCAATTCCAAAATCAATTAAATAAATTTAATCTGAATGACTTTTACCCAATATATTTTCTGGTTTTAAATCTCTATGAATTATATTCCTTAAAAATAACCTTATTAATATACTTTTTATGAATATTTTCTAAAATTTCTATCATTTATTAAGCAATGTTAAAAATACATTCAATTGAAAATTTCTTATTTTTTTTCAAGAAATAAATTAAATCAAATCCAAGCATCTTAGTTATCATTACTTAAAGCTCCTTATATTTTCCATACCATAGTAATTAGGGTACTTATGGAATACCTCTTAATTTCTTCAAAATTTCTACCTATCAATAATTTTTCAACTAACCTCTCTCTCTAAACTTAAGAAATTCTACATTTCTTATTTTTCAACTTTAATTGCCACTTTCATTCCACTCTCTATATTTTTCCCTATATACACTTTACCAAAGGAACCTTAAGATAGAAGTTTCTTAACTTTGTATATATCCCCTATCATATCACCTTGTTGCAATTCGTACATTACAATATTTTCAAAAATTAATATTATTATATATTATATAAAGTGTCCTTTAATGAAATGAAATTAATAAAATAATTAAAAAATCAAAATGATGGCTTAAATTAATATGAAATATAGACTTATTTAATTAATCATATTATTATTATTATGATTTATAAGATATCAAAAATTATGTTAATATCTCAATAAGATTGACAAAATTAATTAAGTTTTAGTTTTTGTTTGAATTTACTTAAAATTTTATGAATGTTATATTATTTATCCTCTATTTCATTTCCAAATAAAGAAAAATAAAATTACTCAAACATCAGATAATTAATAGAATAAAACAAATTTGAGTGGATGCAGAAAGAATTTATGAATTAGTCAATACCTACGAAATGAAATTTATTAAAAAATATATTAATTTTTTTATTAAGTAGTAAGAGATCTAAATAACAAAATAATTAATTAGAATAACTAAAAACTAATAAGTAGGTTTTTAATTAATATTTCAGAAGTATATTTAAGAAACACACTTTTAATTCTTTGTATTATTAGTCTAATAGATTATTATTATTAAATGAATTCATATAATTATTTAAAAAATATTTTAAGAGTTTAATAAAGTTTCTATTATTAGCATAATTCAAAAAATTGTTAGAATTATTTATAATTCATAATAATCAACTAAATAAATTTGATAATCCATTAAGAATGAATTATAATAGGTCTTCATCGAAAGAAGTGAACCCTCTAAGTAAAAATTCATCGCAAGGTGTTGTAATCAATTCTAAATAAAATTCTAGTTGATTTAATAATACTGCTTTAAATCCAAATTTACTTTCAGTAATCAATTCTTCATTCTCTTATTCCCAATTATTCAATAACACTCCCTTTTAGCTAAATTATTTTAATTCCTCAACACAAACAATAGGGAGTAATTAAGTTTTGTATACCTTTCCCAAAAACTATTATTTAATAGTTTTAAAAGAGCGAGGTTCTATTGAATAAAATTTTAATGATGTTAAAATAAAGTTTGGTAAATATAAAATAAAATTTTCAAAACTAATAACATTAATAAATAACAATACTTAATTGAAAAAGATAATTGAGTTTATAAGTGATCTTTTATTTTAGCTTCTCTAATAAATTCATACAATATTTATTATTATGATTACAACAACACACTCTTTAAATCCTTATTAACCCATACATTTTTATTATAATTGATAATTTATACCTAAACAGGCTTTAGTTCTTTATTTTTAATACTTAAAGTAGTAGATATATATTCTTATTGATTATTACCATATAAAATTTATTATCTTGATTTAATTTCAACTTTATTTGATTAAAATAAGATTGCTAATTAATTTATACTTGCTTTCTTAAAATTAATAATATTAGTGCTATTCAATTAAAGTTGAAATTAATTTCTATTAATTTAAATACCTCTGAATTATTTTTTACCATTTACTCTATAATATTCTGATGCAGTTTTATGAGGATAAATGAGTTATGAAACATCTCTTGATTAATTTGATTTTGTTATTTGAGATTATGGTTTTATATATAAAGCTTAAGATTAAAGATCAGGATCTTTAAAATTGTAAAATGCAAAATTCTAATTTTAATAGTCATCCTAATAATCAATTTCTCTATTAACACTATCAGCATTTCTACTTTAATTTGCTGATTATAAATTATTATATTCAATAGATAATTATCTTAATTTTTGATTTTCTTATTTTAATAAAAAATATTTGCTATCTAAATCATCATACTTTTTCTTTAAATTCATAAAATCTAATTAATTACAAGCCTAACCACTTTTTTATTAATATATTTTTTGTTATTCCAATAACAAATTTCTTTCTACTCTTAAATTCTCAAGTTCTTCTTACAAATTTTAAAATCCAATTTAAGATTCAATAGGTATTTCTTATTATTATTATCCTACTTTTACTTAAGATGAAATAATTTATTATTTTGATTATTCAAGTAATACTTAATAATGCTAAATTTATTATTGCATCTCTAATAAATTATCTTAATAATATTGATATTCATCTTATTGTTTTTATTTTAATGACTTAATTTCTAATTAAAGTTTTTGATTTTCAGTTTACTTTTGATTGTTTTCATTACTTAATCTTTCATTTATTTGTACTTGATGTTACAACTCTGATCTCATATTTGCAATTACATTTTCATTTTAATTTATAATTTATTTCAAATTCTCAATCATAAATTTATCTTCATTCTTTTCTAGATAAATTTGTGATTACTTTTATTTTTGATCATTTTCAGAATTGATAATTTATTAAGGTGGCTTTTGAATTTTTGATGCTTATTGATTTTAAATAGAAGGAACTTCTTATTAAAATTGTGATTTAGAATTCTTTAAATATTACTATCTTAATTATTAATAACTAAGATTTCCTCCTTGATAATCTTGATATGACATTATAAAATCCTCTACAAATTCATTTTAAACATCTAAAAGTAATAAATCTTCCACTTAAGCATTAATTGTTGCTAATTCATTAATAACTGCATTATTTTCATCCTTATTGATATTAAGTAAATTTATGAGTTATTATTGAAGTTCTTAAGCTTTCATTTAAATTTATTATGTTTCATCTAAAGGAGTAGGAGTCGCTTATACTTTAGGTATATGCTTTTCAATTTCTTCTGGCTTAAAGTAATTAATTTAGGGTAAATATCCATTTTCTTTGATTAAATTTTTTTCATAAATAGCAAATTCAGGAAACCATTTAGACCATACTTGTATGCAATCTAATGCTAAACGATGATAACTTGCTCCATATTATTCAATAGTCTTATCATGTTCTGGGTTTTTGAAATAGGTGGCTCCTCTTGTATCATCTATATCTTTGATTCTGTATATAGCAACTTAATAGATATAATCCATTAAATGTTATTTGACTTTGAATTTAAAATTTTCATTAAATTTTTCCATACAATCTTTAACTATCTTTAATCCAAAAAGACATTCCTTTGGAGGATATTTTTCATTCATAATCTTTTTCATTGCTTATATCAATTAATCCATGGTTTATCTAAATGTTAATATTATTATTACTCATCATTTAATTCAATTAACTCTTCTAATTCTTTTCTGAATTTCTTATCACCTAATTATGATATAAATTGTTCCATAATAAAAATTTATTTTAATTTTAAGAAGCATTAATTAAATATAGAAATATGAATAGCTATATACTCAAATCTATTCATAAGATCAATATAAAAGGAGTAAGATATGATAAATAATATTATAATTGATATTCAATTTTTCCCTTTAAATTATTCTAGAATATATAATTATTAGTTTACAATCTTCACTTTGCATTTAGGAACCTTATTGAGAAGCCATTTTGGACATTTTTGATGTTACAAAAATAGAAGTTGTATTCTTAAAATCTTTGTCAATTCTTTATAATTCTTAAAGTTATTTTCCTTCTAATTCTTTTTTTACATTATTGTATTTTTAAATTAATCTATTATTAACAAAAAATCTACTTTTCTTCTTCTCCTTTTTTAATTTTTCTTTATTCATCTTATGCATTTTCAATTCTTTAATTTAATACATTAGTTTCATTATTTTATTTTATCTTTTATTAAGAAAGGAGATTCTTAATTTTATTGTTCCTCATTAAAGTCCACTTCTCTTATTCTTCTTTCTAAAGCTATGCTATTCTAGATTATATTTTATGTGCTTCCAAATATCTAAGGTAAATATAAATATGTTACTCTTCTTATCTTGCTAATTATTCTTCAGTCTTTTTAAGACTCAATAATTCTGCAGAATCTTTTGGAGTTTATGGAATAGAACCTTCTAAATCTTATAGGAATTACTGCATTTCATCTTCTTATTTTTGTTATAATTCATTTTTAAGTTTTTAAGCATCTTATTCAAATTCTTATATTTTTTCATCCCAAAAAGCATTAAAATTTTACATTTCTTCTTAATGTGATTTAGTTAGTTCATATTTCTAAAATATATGAATTATAAATTCACTTCTTATTCATGTCTGTCTCTTATATCTAATTTAGTTTTAGATTCGTATTTAATTTTTAGTTCTTTCAATCTTTATTTTGCACAATCTGCTTCCAAATATTTACCTGCTCTCTCACAAGCTTTTTAATGATCAAAAAGTATTTTCCTATCCATAATTTCAAATAATGTACATATACTCTTCAAGATTTTCTGTCTCTGGAGGTAATGTATTCATTTTTGCAGTAGATGGTCTAACTCCGCGATAATTATACATTTTGGAACAATAAAAATTTTATTTAATGTTATGATTAAAATAATAAAAATTTATATATTTAAATCAAATAATATTAATAATGTAAAAGTTTAATGGAGTTCGATCATTAGTGAATCTAACTAAATTCAAAGCAAGTGATCACCATCTAAAAGCTACTCATCATCAACCAAATAGACCAGATTTAATGACTAAAGTTGATATTGATAAATATAGAGTCTTCATTAACATGCATCCAGAAGCAAGAGAAAGATTTTTTGCTACTTACACATGGTTACCTAAAATCACACCGTATTTCATTATTCAATTATTTAATTTAGACTATATAATTCAACTATTGCCAAATATATTGCAACTTCATTCTCAAGTGTATAAGCTGAAGCTGTTTCTGATGTCTATTTCCCACCTAAAGTAATACATCCATTCATTCCCTTTAGCTTCATGAAAATGGCATTAATATTTATACCTCATATAGATTCGGAAAAGCCTTTAGATATGGCAGATCTTTAGAAATTGTGGGAGGAATCTTCTTCTTAACTACTAAATATCCCATCTATTATGCTCTTGTTGCCCTTTTTGGCTACACTGTAGGATTCAATGTACAAACTAATTATAAATATTAGGCCTACTTCTATGAACTCACAAGAAGAACAGTTATCAGAATGGATTTATTACCTCATACACATTAAATTGTATGTCAAAAAGTTGGTGCCTTTGGATAAGTGATCACTAAATTGCATCAAATATCTGATTTGGAACATGTTAATTTTTCAGAACAAGAAACAAAAGGTAATCTTTATTCATATTAATATTAATTTAGAGAATTACTTTTGGAATCTCCATTACCATAAATTAGATAGAAATCTAATCTTCAAAGATAAATCAACTGGAGAATATCTCACTTTTGACAGTGAAGGATGGTGGGATAGATAAGCCTTAGAGCATGAATTGCTTAATTGATTATGATCAAAAATACAATAATTCAATAAAAAAATTATATATCACCAAATCCAATCGATTTAATCTAATCATTTTTTATATAGATTTGATAAATAAATATATATATAGTATTTGTTTATTGTTAGAATTTAAAAAATTATAAGGATATTTATTATAAATAACATTCATGTAATTGTATTAATATTTAATTCTTGAAAGAGGATACTTCATTATTTACAATTATAATTTTAATTAATCATTTTTCATATTAAATCTATTAAGTTTGATGATTTTTATATATTCTTTAATATAAAGCAATTCTTTAAAATTTCTATTAATAAATTATTCAAATTTTATTACTATTTAGATTATACTATATTAAAAATACTTTTAAATATATACATATATAACGATAATCAAAAAGTATATGATTTCACATAATAAAAAATTCTCTCAATTTCCTTATATATTACTATAAATTTGGTTATAATTAACTAAATTAAGAATCATTATAATATTTCTTAGGTTAAATTTTTTTATTTTCAAACATGTTAAGAAAATATTAGATTTTTACTATGAATTTGCTAATTCAAATCAAATTTAACAAATGGGTTTTGATTATAGCAACTTAATTATTAAATGGCTTAAATGTCTATTATAATTAATAGATTATTTATGAATTGTATTCCTATTTTTAATTTGATTTATGAAGCTTAGGGTATTCTATTTAATTATATAAGGCTCTTTCAATATTAATATATATACACATTGATATAAAATCTTAATTTATTATTTAAATTAAATGTCTGAAGAGCAGAGCAAGTAACGATTTGCGTATACGGCACCAAAACAAATTTTAGAAGAAGCTGCACAAATTGGTGAAGACAATTAAACAAGAAAGTAAAATTTAGACAAAGTTGAAGAAAAGTTCAAGTACAAGCAAAAGAACCGCTAGTTGAGTCCAGAAAGAAAAGATGTTTTCAATGATTAAGGAGGTGAGAATGGGAGAACATATGCAGAAATCATGATCTAATAGGACTTGGAGAATTCCAGATCTGAAATTGAAAATAAAATCAAAAAGACAGAAACATTAAATAAAGAGGAAAAAAAATTGGTCAAATAATAAGTGAAGGTGGAATAAAATGTTGCTTAATAAATAAAATAGGAAAGATCTGAATGGGAATAAGAAAGCAAAGATGTTTCTAAAAAGCCTTAAAAATGGGAAACCCCATCAAGAGGTATTTTTAAATAGTTCATTAATATTTAGATGGTCCATAATCCTCTGCAAGAGCCTCCAGATGGGATAATACTAATAAATTATAAGCAACTCCAGGTCGAGCAGGAACAGTATTTGGAGAAACACCAACACCAGGACATATGGAAATTGGAGATACCCCATATAAATATGGAGAAACCCCCACTCCTAATCGTTCTTATATTAAAGCCAGATGGGGAGAAAGAACACCATTAGCAGGTCAATCCGGATTTGGAGGAGGTATGACACCTCATACACCAGGAACTGTAATGAGGACACCTATGACTCCAGGATAATTAGGAAATATGACTCCGGATAGAGTATATTAATTCAGATTGGAGAAAGAAATGGAAGAGAGAAATAAATATATGACAGATGAGGAATTAAATAGTATTTTACCAGGTCCAAAGGATGGTTATGAAGTAATGATAAATTAATAAAATAGATATTAAAAGCACCTGAAAATTATAAACCATTGAAATCATCTTTAAAGAAATTACTAAATGCAAAAAATAGTATTGAATCTCCAGTTCAATATCAAATACCAGAATCTATTCGTATAGAGGTTTCAGCAACTCCATCTCATCCTACTATAGGTCAATTACCAGCAATTAAACCAGAAGAATATAATTTATTCTCAGCTTTATTACAACCAATTAATGAAGATGAATTGACTCCAGAATAAGCAAAAGAAAGAAAAATTATGGCTTTACTTTTGAAAATAAAGAATGGAACTCCTTAAATGAGAAAGTCTGCTTTAAGACAAATCACTTAAAGTGCAAGAGAATTTGGACCTGCTCCATTATTCAATTAGATCTTACCATTGTTAATGTCTCCCACATTAGAAGATTAAGAGAGACATCTATTGGTAAAAGTAATAGATAGAGTTCTATTTAAATTGGATGATTTGGTTAGGCCATATGTACATAAGATATTAGTTGTTATCTAACCATTGTTAATTCATGAAGATTACTATGCTAGAGTAGAAGCAAGAGAAATCATATCCAATTTAGCTAAAGCAGCTGGTTTAGCAACTATGATTACTACAATGAGACCTGATATAGATCATAATGATGATTACGTCCGAAATACAACTGCCAGAGCATTTGCTATTGTGGCTTCAGCTTTGGGTATTCCAGCATTGTTGCCATTTTTAAAGGCTGTTTGCTAGAGTAGAAAGAGCTGGTAGGCAAGACATACTGGTATTAAAATAGTACAATAAATCAGTATTTTTATGGGTTGTGCTATTTTGCCTCATCTGAAATCACTAGTTGAAATTATATAACATGGATTAAAAGATGAATAATAAAAAGTAAAAACAATTACAGCTTTAGCATTAGCTGCTTTGGCGGAAGCCTCCTTTCCATATGGTATTGAAGCATTTGATAATGTGCTTATTCCTTTATGGGAGGGCATTAAAACTCATAAGGGTAAAGGATTAGCAGCATTTTTAAAAGCGATAGGATTCATTATTCCATTAATGGATGTAGAACATGCAACAGAGTATGTTAAAGCAATTGTTCCTATATTGAAAAACTAATTTGAAATATAGGAAGAAGAAATGAAGAAGATTGTATTAATGGTAATAAAATAATGCATATAATGTGCAGGTATAGAGGCTGTTTATGTAAGAGATCAAATAATGCCTGAATTTTTCAAATATTATTGGAGTAAAAGAACAGCCACAGACAGAAGAAATTATAGATAAATGGTTGAAACTACATGTGAAATAGCTGCTAAAGTAGGAGCAGCAGAAATTTTAGAAAGAATTGTAGGTGATTTAAAAGATGAAAATGAATCATTTAGAAAAATGGTTGTAGAAACTATAGAAAAATTCATAAATTAATTAGGAGTATCAGATATAGATTAAAAATTGGAAAATAGATTAATGGATGGTGTATTATGGGCATTTAATGAATAATAAAGTGAAGATACATAAACAATGCTTAGTGGATTTGGATCTATTATTAATGCATTTGGTAGTCGATCTAAACCTTATTTCAGTTAATTAGGTGGTGTTTTATAATGGAGATTATCTAATAAATCACCAAGAGTTAGATAATAAGCAGCTGATTTAATTGGTAAAATAGCAGTTTGCATGAAAAATTGTTAAGAAGAAGCAAGATTAGGAAGATTAGGCTAATTATTATTTGAATGTCTAGGTGAGGAATATCCAGAAGTTTTGGGATCTATCTTAGGTGGATTAAAGGCAATAGTCAATGTAATTGGAATGAATAAGATGTCACCTCCTATTAAAGATTTATTACCAAGATTAACACCCATCTTAAAGAATAGACATGAAAAGGTTTAAGAAAATTGCATTGATTTAGTTGGTAGAATTGCAGATAGAGGACCAGAACATGTTTCTCCAAAAGAATGGATTAGAATATGTTTTGATTTGTTGGATTTATTGAAGGCTCATAAAAAAGGAATAAGAAGAGCAACTATAAATACATTTGGTTATATTGCCAAAGCTATAGGACCATAAGATGTCTTATCTACTCTTTTAAATAATCTTAAAGTTTAAGAAAGATAACTTCGTGTTTGTACAACTGTAGCAATTGCAATTGTGGCAGAAACATGTGGTCCTTTTACTGTTTTACCTGCTTTAATGAATGAATATAGAGTTAGAGAATTAAATGTTCAAAATGGTGTTTTAAAATCATTATCATTTATGTTTGAATATATAGGTCCAACAGCATATTCTTATATTAATTCAGTTATTCCATTATTAATTGATGCCTTGACTGATAGAGATCTTGTTCATAGATAAACTGCTTCATCAGCTGTTAAACATTTAGCTCTTGGTGTATAATGTTTAGGATGTGAAGAATAACTTATGCATTTATTGAATCATGTTTGGCCAAATATTTTTGAAACATCACCTCATGTTATTAATGCTGTTATGGAAGCAATAGAAGGGATGAGAGTCAGTCTTGGACCAGGAAATATTTTACTCTATGCATTATAAGGCCTTTATCATCCTGCAAGAAGAGTAATATTATATAATTAATTATTAGGTGAGATTAATATATTGGAGAATTTATAACATGATATATGTTGGCAGTTCTGATGCTTGTGTCGCATTCTACCCAACCTTTCCTAATGATCAGTATAATTCTTATGATAAATACGAATTAAATCTAACATTATGAGTGTTGAAAATATTTGAAATAATATATATAAATTATCATAACATATTATACTTAATATTATATATAATTAAAATTATGAATATAAAATATTGGCTTTCGTAAATATACAATAGTTGACATTTATAGCCTAAATCTATAATGTTTTTTAATGTTTTGGAATAAAATTATATTAGAAACAGAATACAGTTTTAAAAACTTAACATTAATATTATACTTATTTATGTTAAAATCCGTATTAATCTAACTTTTTAATAACAAAATTTAAAACTAAATTTTTATCTATTATCTTCTTGACAATATTCTAATGAATTGATTCCATTTTGATTATTATGAATTAGGTCTTATATTAAGTAAGCTTTGAATTAAATTAATGAAGTAAATTCTATTTGTCTAATATTGTTGTATGTCTAATCAATTTCCTTTTTATAAAGAAATCGAAACTTAAAAATAATGTTTTATGTAAACAGAACAATTAAAATATTTTGTATTATATTTATATAAAAATATATATATAATTATATTCAACAAAATTTTATGTATGCATCCTTGGTAAAGAGATAAATTTAACAATATGCATTTTCATAGGATTCAATTCTAGCATAGGATTTCATATAAAAAATTATTTCTAAAATTGAATAGATACATTTAATTATAATTTATTTAATAAAAAATTAGTTAGCTATTTGAAAACTATGAATTTTAATTAAAAAATATTCTTTATTTATCACTGAACGTTTTTAAATAATGGCAAAAATGCTTTAGAAATTAGGTAATCAAATTCTAAATAGAATGGGCTTTTGAATAGTGTAGTAATTATATTAACTCTATTATTTTAATAAATATTGAACTTTTTTTAATTTAATATAGAAATTTCATATTTATCACATCTAAGAGTTAACAATGTCTATTCATTTCTTTTTAAAATATCTATGTGTAATGATATTTATATTATTAAAGACTCATTTGCTTAAATACTGGACATGGTACATAAAATAATTATAAATTCTTTACAACAAAGAAATTTAATAATAAGGAAAAAAGAGATGTATGTTTGGATTTGGCATATCTATCTTAAGTTAGATTTTTGATTATGTATTTCTCTAAAATTTTAGATAATTAAATTTTAGTCAACATATTTAGGTCTGCTATAATACTAATTAGTTTGTATGAATTTCCATAGTTAATATTTAATGTAAAGGAAGATGAAAATTATACTTGATTAGGTAATTTGGATAGCAACCAACCCTTTTATTAAAGAATTTATGGAAAAATTAAACTAGAAAAGACACACAGTGTGTATGATCGTGTTAAAAACCTATGATTATTTTCATTGAAGATAGAAATCAAAAAAGTTAGTTTTAGTAATATTATATTACCTAATTTATTTTTAGGGATAGACAGACCTATAATGTAGTGTTTTGGTATATTTGAAGTAAGAAACTTATAATTTGATAATGTAATATTCTTCTTGAGTATATTTAAAAAGAAAATAATAAAGTTATTGTATGAGAAAATTTGAAAATATCTTAACCATTAATAATAATCTCAGACTATAATTAAGATAAAAATACAACAATGTTAATAAAATATATATATATATACAATCAATTAAAATGATTTAAATTATCTTATTGAAGTTGACCAATATTTATAAAGCAATTAATCCTAACAAATCTTAATTATATTTAATTTTATGATTTAAGTAAAAGAACATCTACCCCAAGAATGGTTCGATTTTATCGAATAAATCAAAATTTTGAATCCAATTGACTATCAAACAATCAAATAATTTGTAAAAGTTCGATTCAGCCAATTTCCTTCTGATTAATAAATGAGAGAGTATTACGAAGAAGTTTTTTCAAAGTATTGCTATCATTCTACTATAATTAGATCGACTAATGATTCCAATAGAAAGAAGTGGCATCAATAAGACAAAAATTTGCTTATTTGGTGCATGACTAAATACTTAATGTCTTAGAATAGATCTGACCTTATTCCTGTAATAGTTTTTATTTATCGTTAGAATGATAGAGATTGGGAGTATATATCAAAAATACTGTGTGTAGATAAGTAATTGATTGAATTAAAATGGATATCCTTGCTTCATTCCAATCTAAAAATCTCGACATGGACCAAAGAAGAGGATCAAATTTTGACAGATATTGCAAGGTAAGATTTTTATATATTTAAGTTAATATTATTCAAAAAATAATTGGACAGAATTAACCATTAAGTTTAATTAATTGTCCTAGACTTAGAGATATCCTAAATAAATTAGAGAGAGATGGAATAATGTGTTGAATCCAAATATTTCTAAGTAAACTTGGAATAAAGAAGAGAAAATTAAACTCATTTAATTGATTTTAGATTAGGGTAAAAAATGGTCTAAAATTCAGAATTTAATGAATAATAGAAGTGAAAATTAAATCAAAAATCAATATAATGGAATCATTAGAAATTTAAAAAGATTTAATGTAATATTTTGTTCTTTAAATTAAGGTTTAATAAACTGAAGAAAGATCCTTACTCAAAGCAATTATTGAGAATCCAGATCAAAAACTAAGTTTGACAGTTACTTAATTTATGTCTGATTTCTTGGCCAGAAAAGAAGCATCAAAAAGAATAGATACACCATTGTTAAATAATAGAAAAGTTGAAGGTTCAAGCGTTAACAAAACTAAAGTTGAATTATTCCCTCTTGACAATCTCATTAGTGTTTCAAGTAATATCATTTATTTATTATAGATATATCATAAATTGAAAAATCTAAAATAAGTCAGGAATCTTAATATCAAATGCCTTAGACTCCAAATTTATTTCATCAGTAAAATTGTAATCTCTCCATACCTTAAATATAACCACAATAAATTTATTATAGAAATTAATATACTATGTCCAGTTTACCTAATACCTATATGAATTATGCTCCAACTAATTAGGTTTATCCAAATTATTATTAATTTCCTATGAATTTAGGATTTTAATAATATCAAGGATATTTCTGAATTTGTTGAAGCATAAGTGAGCAAAATATTGATATATATATTGAATAATATATTATAATATAAATTATAATTTAAATATGTTATATATTTAATATGAGTAGGATTAATGAAATTTACAATTGCCAACAATTTTTTATTAATTCAATTCATTTTTTAAATTACAAAAGGACATGTTTATAAAATAATTTAAATTCAATTTCAAGGGTCACTATAATAATTAAAATTATAAATTGTTGTTTTATTTAATAATACTTTTATATATATTATTAAATATAAATTTAATAATATATATTAAAATCATAAACTAAATCTGGGTAATAGACTACAAATGAAAATAGTATTTTATGTTACTCAAATTATTCTTTTTTATTTAACTGAACAATATAATATTTTTTAAAATCGATTTTTTTTAAATATCATTTTAATTACTGATAATTGAAAAAACTTAAGTCTATTTTGCTATTACATATACATTTTATAACCAAAAGCCTTATAATTAATATTAAAAATTCAGAAAAACAAAAAATAATTTATTAAAATTTTTCACAAAATTTATAAGAAGATGATGTCATAATTTTCTATAATATTGAATCTAATTTTAATTTAAATGTTAAAATATATTAATAATGATGGCTTTTCTTATCATTTGTAAAAGATAAGAAAATTTTCTATATTTGTAAATTAATATTCTTTTATAAAAATTAAATTAGTAAACATAATAATTGTTTTGAATTCCAAATGATGATTAATCTCTAAGGAATTACAAATTCTCGTGTGAGGAAGAGAGTATTAAAAGTTAATTCTATTTATATATATTTAAACTTGAAATTAAATTAAGTTATATTTATACGAGATTTATATAGAATAGACATATATATTCAAATAGAATGATGATTAAAATATGTGAACAGATCTTAAATGATTTAGAAAGCAAATGGTCTGATTCTATTAATGCTATTATGCAACTATTCAGGAGTTATATTAGCTTAGTATGCAATTAACTTGATATTGATACCACCTTATTTTAGATATATGATATCAGTGGCTATTTTTACTGCAATAGCATTTTAAAGAGATTTTGGTAATTTTTAAACGAGAGGCTATATTTATCTCAAAAGTGTAACACAAACAGTAGTAGCTTTTGAATCTATTTTAAGTTTCTGACAAAGAGTTGTAATCAAAGATGAATATTGTTATTAAATACATTTAGCCAAGTATATGAGCTTTTCATCAGTTTCAGGCACCTTATATTGTAACTCATTCATGGCACAATAGACCAAAGCTTATGCATGCATATATGAATTTGGAATGGATAAAACATTAAAAATGGAGATTGATTTTTTTTCTACTTCATCATTAAGATTCATTTTGAAAACAATGTCTGAAATCAATTCATACATGTCTTAATTTCTTTTAGGAGTATTGCATTCTTCATGAAATTTAGGAACAGGAGGTCTTTTGAACATGTTTATTTAATTAATTGAGTTAATATTCAGTTTTAATAACCAGTTTATTTGATTCTATTAGTATAAATAAATTTGAATTGATTAATATAATATATTTAATATGATGTCATAAAAATACATTCCAAACAATAACAACACCATCTTATGCACCTGAAATAACTTATTTTCCATCTGGAGCAAATTATACAGTATTGACTGGTCCAGAATGTCCAAACCCTTCTGATATTTATTATCCAGTTTATAAATCCCATAATTTAACTGAACAATTAGATCCTCCTGTAACAGCATATTTAAAATTGGGTGAAAGACAAATTGAATAACATTCATCACCTAAAATTATTATAAAATCTAACCTTTTTTTGGATTTCCACTTGTTTCAAATTATCTTTATACTTCACTTTAATTAAGATCCCAAAGTGATATTTTTCTATCTTAACCAGTACTAAAAACAACTGTTGTATTAGGAACAGTATCAAAAGAATTAATACCACCCATTCTTTATATATGAGCACTAATTCTTTTTTCAGATTTCAAATCCCATTATAATAAGGCTCTATCACGAGATGAAGTAAGTAATTATGTTTCATTAGCAATCAATTTAACTTTAGTAACTTTATGAGTATGTTCTTTTAAATGTGATACCATTTCTCTAGTTCTCATTTCCCAAACTCTAACATCTCCTTCTCCTCCACCACTACAAAAGAATTTCAAATTATTTGATATACAAAGTGTAGTCACTCCTGTTTTATGAGCATTATCAATCTACCAAATTTATTAACCATTATCAGATCTAAACATTCTAATCTTACCATCAGCCCATCCACTTAATAGTACTTCATCTCTATAAACTAAACTTAATGGAACAACATTCACATTAGCTTAACATTTAGCAATTACAAAATATTCACTAATATCCCAAAGTCTAATAGTTCCATCTTCTGATGCTGAAGCAAATCTATCAGAAACTCCTGGAGGATAACTCATATCTAATATTGATCCAGTATGATTTTCACTATGTAATCCTTTCTAAAAATTGTTTGTATTGAATCTAAAAATCAAACCTCTATCTGTTGATATCAAACTCTCTAAACCATCTACTCTTACTGTAATTGAATTAACTGCTCCCCCTAAATCAGTTTTGTGTAATTAATTTATCTAATTTACAATAATAATATACTTTATTATCTTCTGTAATTTAATACATTGCTAAAGTACCATTACCTGCTCCAACTATAAATCTTGTAAAATCTACAAATCTTATTGACATTACTCCCAATGCAGCAACTACAATTTAATGACTAAAAAATCTATTTGATTAATATATTTAATTTAATTACTTATTTTTCATCTAAAAAACACAAAAATCTCCTGATGTTGTTCCTAATAAAAGATATTCTTCTCTATTTTTTGAAAATTCCATACAAATGTATTCTCTTACTAAATTACCTGTATTAATTATTTCTTTCTCAAATACTCCTAATTTTGCATCCAATTTCCATAAACATATTTATTTATTTCCAGATGTTGCAAATTGATATTTTGGTGTATCTCTACCTTTTATATCTTTAGCAAATCCACCCCATCTTGCTATTGTTGTTGGTTCAGGTGTATGATTTACTGATCCTACAATATATCCTGTTTAACAATCCCAAATGAATATTCTTTTATCCATTGGATTACCTGAAGAGAAGAGTAATCTATCATCATGACTAAAATCAACGCATACTACTTCATAATCATGTTCTGATAATCTATATTTTTGAATTTTTCTATGATAATCCCAAATAATAACATCAGAATTGTCTCCCTTCTATCCTGATGCAACCAATTCACCTCGATTTGAAACTGCTAAACATGTAATTTAATCATCATGTCCTTATAAAAATGATTATTTATGAGCATCTTTTAAATCAGTAATTATTAAAGATGCTCCAGCTATACAAATGAATTCCACTCCATTTGGATGCAATATCACACTTCGAGGTATCTTATATATATATTCAATTTTACTCTTCCACTATATCCAATTGCATGTTCCATCTCAAGAATATCTGCAGAAGGTTGTTTCATTTTTTATATATAAATAATATATATATATTAAATATTTTCTAAAATAATCAATATTCAATTAATAACTTTCAATTTTTTACATAATAATGTAATGATACATATAATATAAAAACTTTATAATTATTTCTAGAAATTGCTATTTCAATATTTGGAAATACTTAATTTTAGAGTTGCATAAAATTAAAATAATATCACTTAAATTTAATAAAATCTAAGTATTCTCATCAATCCCATTTATTCTTTTATTAAATGATTCAACTATATTTATTTATCAGGTTTCTCAATTTTTTTTAATTTTTATAATGATATTTAGTATATATTTAAAGAGATCAATATCTTAATTAACTATTTAACTATTCTAGTTGGAATTAGAGACTGTATAGTAAATTTATTAACTAGAATTTATTAATATATTGATTATTATATGTTTAAGAATTACTGTTCGATTGCTAAATATTATTTTAATCAGTAATAAATTTCTATGTTTAATGTTTGTTTTATTTATTTTTAATTAACTATTAAATCATTAGAATTGCAATGTAAACTTTGATGAGGCATTAGATTAATGTCTCTATTTTGTTATTTAATTATATTTATTTAGGGTTTGCTTAAATTACAATAAAATTTTCAATCTTATAATTATAATTAAAAATGGATGAATTTCAGACTTTCTTTCAAAGTTTAGGGGAAAAAAAATTGACTCCTATTTCTGAGGATTACAGAAAACAATTCAAGATTAGAGGAGAGTTCATCTATCCACTTAACAAGAAGTTTGATCAAATTTGTAAAAGGTAATCTAAAGTATTTAAAACTAGCTTTTTAGAAGATGAAAAATTAAGGGGCAAAAGAAAATGGGATAATTCCTTTAAACTATTTCTGATATGGTTTTTAGTTAAATATTTTGAGAATTAAAATCGAATTACAATACGACCTGTAGAAGTTTAATATATTTTAGGATGAGAATGATTGGATTAATTTTGAAAACATTCTGAAAATAGATAAGCATACTTTATAGTAAAGATGGATTACTTTGATTAATCCTCAAATGAAATCTATCAATTGGTTATAGGAAGAAGATGATTTTATTAGGACTTAAATGAAGTAAGTTAGAATTACTTAATTTATTATAGTTAAAAGAATAAACATATTTGGACACAAATTGCAGTATCTCTTTATGAAAGGAATTTGTAGGGGAATATTCGAACTCCAAAATAAATTAGGGAACGATGGATGAATTATTTGAATCCTGAATTAAATAAGTAATTTACTATCCTTATTTATAGAGAACAATGGTTGCTCAAAGAGGATTTGATTATTTTAAATAACGTTGTGAAAAATGGAAAAAAATGGTCACAAATTTCATAGTAATTGAATGGAAGAACCGAGAATTAGGTGAAAAATAGGTAATTGAATAACACAATTACATAAGATACAAGTCATTAATACATAAAATATGCAAGGATGATGAATGTGATGAAATAGAGATGATCAAGTAGTACATTAGAAAAAAGTATGTAACAATTTAAAAAAGTAGTTCTGTACATATGGACTCTAATAAACAAGGTATAATAGGTAAAAGGGGGAGACACAAGAAGGGAATGAAAAATAAGGAACAAAAAGCAGATGCAAAGAAACAAAAAAATATTCCAAAAATAATAAAATAAGAAGAATAATTATCCTCATAAGCTTTCGTTTAATAAGCATAATAATAATAATAATAATAATAATAATAATAATAATAATAATAATAATAATTATTATTATTTACATAATCTTAATAACTATAATTGTAATAATAAATTCAATAAACTTAATAATTGCAATAATTGTAGTAGTTATAATAATAGATGAATTTTAATTAGGAAGAAATGAAGTTAGCATTAAACTTGTAATCTACTTTTAATTAGGAGGATATCAAAAATACAACTCCATTGATGATGTTATAATGTTTAACTTCTCCAGGATATTAGTATTTTGAAAATCAATGTTTAAGATAATTGTCTCCTGGAATGATAGAAGAAGTAGATTGTCATTAAAATTCGTCTTTATAATTACCCAAAATGGCAAATATTTATAAGGTAAATTCTACATCTCCATTTTTAATTGGATCTATGTTGCCTTCTCCATTTTGGAATAATGATCAATTTGTTCAATAGAATGATGATTAAGTTGGAGCAATATCTAATTAAACTTTTACCTAATAAATTTCCACAACTCCTTATTTAAATATAAATTATTTAAGACAATAATAGATGAATGGGTTCTCTAAATAAAAGGAATTAGATTTATTGTAGGAAAATCCTATATAATAATTCAATAAAAGAAGAAATATTAATTAATAGTGAAAATGATAATAATAATATATATATATATATATATATTTATATTAAATTATTAATGATAAAGAACAATAATAATTTAGATGCTCTGAATGTAAGATATATAATCCTTAATCTAGGGATTGAAATATGAACTGCAAATAATTGAAGATCAAAAGTCCTAGGAGTTGAAAGATCTGAAATTATTTTTTAAAACATTATAATAGAAAGTTTGGGATTTAAAGAGAAGAAGTAAATTTCTAAAATATCAGTTAGATTATAATTAAAAAATATGTTTCATTGATCCTCTCCTTAGGGACTCATTATTATCAATGCAGCATTTAATTGGGCTCAAGGCAGAAGCAATTAGATAATTGGAGGATGAAAAATACAATCAATAGGTTGATCGAGAGAAATTGGGTATTGTAAATATACAAAGAATAGTTGTATTGCATAAGTATTAAGAAAGTGGTGTTGAAGTGCATCATGCTTACACTAAATACATCCAATCTGAAAATCTAAAAGGCTTAAGAGATTTGCCTCACTCATATAAATTGTTGGAATAAGACCTTGAAATTGAAGTTGAGAGAAAACGCCAGTTAAAATTATAGTTGGAATCACAGAAGAAATAAACCGAAGAATTGTTATAAGAGACTCGCAAAAAACTTGAAGTTGAATTAAAATTTTCTACATATATCAGGAAGCTACATCTTTCCATCATTCGCTGCAGTAAAAAATAGACCAGGAGAAAAACTGAAAAAGCATCCACACGAAGTCCATATATAAACATATTTTATTTTTTTTTATTTTTCTTTATATGGCTGACAATTTGTGTCACCAGTATGATTAATTAAATAATTTTGAAATTAAATGGAAGTGGAAACTTAGAATTTAACATAAGAGGAACTTGAACTCTTCAAATTACTTAAATTAAGAGAACAAGAATTGGAATATTTAGATATATAAGAATAATATTTGAAAGAAGATTAAAAAAGATTGAAAAGAGAATTAGTGAGAAGTAGAGAAGAATTAAAAAGAATCTAAGCAGTCCCATTAACAGTAGGGTATATATTAGAATTAAATAATACATAGTCATTTTAATGAAATGATGAATGAGAATTATGCTTTAATAAATTCTAATGGTGGAGCAACACTATATGTTAGAGTACTCAGTACATTAGATAGAGAAAAATTGAAACCAAATACATCAATTGCTTTACATAGACATTCACATAGTGTTGTTGATATTTTACCCACCGAAACAGATTCTTCAATTCAAATGATGCATGTAACAGGTATTAAATATTAATAATAAAAAGAAAAACCTGATGTAAGTTATTAAGATATTGGTGGGTTGGATTAATAGAAGTAAGAAATCAAAGAAGCTATTGAATTACCATTATCTTGCCCTGAATTATATAAATAAATTGGTATTGATCCACCAAGAGGTGTTTTATTGTATGGTCCTCCTGGTACTGGAAAAACAATGATAGCCAAAGCTGTTGCTCATCATACCACTGCATCATTTATTAGAGTTGTTGGATCAGAATTTGTATAGAAATATTTGGGAGAAGGACCTAGAATGGTTAGAGATGTTTTCAGATTGGCAAGAGAGAATGCTCCTAGTATCATATTCATTGATGAAGTTGACTCTATTGCTACAAAGTATATAAAATATTTATTCAAAATTTTAGACGTTTTGATGCTTAAACAGGAGCAGATAGAGAAGTTTAAAGAATTCTTATTGAATTACTAAATCAAATGGATGGTTTTGATTAAAGTACTAATGTTAAAGTGATTATGGCTACTAATAGACCTGACACTCTTGATCCAGCACTTCTCAGACCTGGGTAAGTTTTATATATCTATAATTTTTAGACGTCTTGATAGGAAAATTGAATTCCCTCTTCCTGATAGAAGATAAAAACGATTGATATTCTAAACTGTTACATCAAAAATGAATTTATCAGAGGAAGTTGATTTGGAAGCTTTCATCAATAGACCTGATAAGATTAGTAATGCTGACATTGCTGCCATCTGTTAAGAAGCTGGAATGTAGGCTGTTAGAAAGAATAGGTATGTTGTCATACAGAAAGACTTTGATAAAGCCTACAAAATTGTAGTTAGGAAAACTGAGAAAGAGTTTAATTTTTACAAATGAATTATATAATATAGATATATATATACAATTAATCTAATCTTATGGTTTTTATTAATTCGTTATTAAATCAATAATAAAATTAATATATAATTATATTCATTTATACAATGTCACAATCTAGCGATATAACATATATGAGTGATAATAACTCACCAGCATTGAAGTTTTCTTTACAACCTGATGTTGTTAATATGTTGAAGGCTTAAAAAGATGATGTTCCCATAGGTAAAAACCATCAAGCAATACTTCCTTTCACTCTTCTAAGTAGAAAATAGATTGAATTAAAAAAATCAAATTTATCACATTATAAGATATGGAATTCTACTTCTAATGAAGATATGTAAAGAATCAATGAAATATACAAATAATTTCGTAGGAAATTTGGAAGAAATGCTTAACATTTAGATGAATTCTTTACTTTAATAAGTCGAACAAATTAAGATTTAGAATTAGTTAAATAATTAATCTTATTTGAAGATAAATTTCTTTAAAAATATATCTAAACGAGAAGTTCTTTATTAAAATGTGATTGATATTAATATGCTTGCATTTCATTTCAAGAAATACTCATATTTTATATTTGACATCTAATATTTATTATTATTTATACACATCATCTATTAGTTATATCGATGATTTATCAATATTCTATATAACACCTTAATAAATATATACCCTTCTTGCAAATCAAATTAACAATAACTATAAAGAAATGATCTTTTTTATATGGAAAATTAAATTTTAAATTAATATAAAGAATTATAATTTGACTGTATCTTCTCAATAAATATAATGTTAAGTTTATTCATTTATGCTAATATTACAACAATTCTTCTGAATCTTAAATTACATTACGAATTCTATCAAAATTATTTGACTAATATTTAAACAATAATTTTACTTATCTTGTTTAAGGTGAAGATTACGGCCATTATTGTTGTGGAACTTAATTAGATGCCTTCAATGGTTGATTTCCTTATGGCTTATATTCTAAAACTGTAATTTCTCTATCAAATTAATCATTCTAGAATATATTATCAAAATAAACATACCATTGGAGCTACTGTTTTTGCTAATTACACTGGAAATTTTTCATTTGTCAGTAATTAATTATAATTATTTGTAGGAGGAGGTCTATTCAAATACATAACTGGCAATTATATAGGAGCAGATTACTAAATTACAGGTCTTTGGATTGGTTACTATTAAAAAATATTTGGGGGTTGTGATGGCTATTACAAAATATTAGGAGGTGGTGGGGCTATATAAACATTTTATAATGGATTTGCAGGAGGAGGTGGAGTTTGGGGTTAGTAATATGATTGTTGTATTTTTATTGGATTATCTGGAGATATGGGAGTTGATATAAGTTATTTTTAGGATTATTAAGGAGGTAGTTAAGGAATGATTTATTATGATTATGGTATCTATTAAGATTACATCAACAAACGTTATAGTAATTGAGGTTACTGATTTACAAATTACTAAGGCTGAGGAGAAACTGACTTTCTTAGATCTGGACTTTAAATTAATGGTTATTGTTATTAAGGGACTCTTGGAATTTATATATGTTACTAAGGTAAATTTTACGATTATTATATGATATTTTGGGATTATTATTATTTCAAGTTTTATTGTTATATAATGTTTTATATTTATTATTAAGTTAAGACCTATTATTGGTATAAAGGAGGTTATGGAATATTTGGTTATGGTATAGTGGGTTATTGGATAATTGTTGTTTATTGAATTGAATTTGGTTATAATAATTATTATTAAATTTGTTATTGTAAATTTGAAGTAACTTATAATTGTTAATTTTAAGATTTTTATTATATAAAATTTTATTAATATTCCAATGAATCTTATTGTTGAATCTATTACTATTTTGATTGTTAAAGAATTAATTATTACTGTTATTATATTTATTACTATTATTATTGAATATTGACTTTCAATTGTTATTGTTATTTAATATTGTCGATCTATTAAGATTCATATAAAATTTCTGAATGCTTATTTGAATTTTCAATAATTTATTTTAACTTCAATTTAGACATAACATTCAAAGGAATTGCTAATTATTTTATATCTTCAAAATTAATTTAAAAATCTTATAAATTATTGATTTTTTCTGAATAAGGTTTCAAGAAATAATAAAGATCTTCTATTAATAATTAATTATCAGTTTCTAACATCAGATGCTCTGTTATTCGAATTAATTATTAAGAAAAGCGATTATAACAAAGCATTTATAATTAAGCAACTTGTTAAATTTCAATTAAAACGGGTACATCAAGTATCATAAGATCAAGAATTATATGTCCTAAAGCATATGAATCTATAATGTTCCAATTGATCTATGGTTATTATTAATTTATAAGTGATTTTTTTAATGTAGTAGGGAGGTAAGTCTATAAATTTTCAACTACAAATCTAGCAACTGAGTTTTTTTGATCTTACAAAACTCCAATAGGACAAAGTTTTATTGTACCATTTCGTTTTAATGCCACTGTAGCTGGTCTTAAGTCTTTGTGATTATAACCTTTTTATTTAAGTTCATAAAGGGCCTAAGTCAAAGACCATAACAAATACCAAATCTCTTTTTCTGAGAATTGTTCTTGATTTTATTTCCTTTCATTTATTTCTCTATCTTAAATATAATAAAGTACTTCAATAAAGTATGAGGAATATATTCGTAATAACTGAAAATCATTGAATAGGATGAACACATTTCCTACGATTGCTTTTCTGAACTTCCATAATAATTTATAATGTAGGGAGCCTAAATATGATAAATCATAGTTTAAGATTAATGCCAGAGTTCATCTGACTCCTAATCAAGAATTCTGTTTGGATATTCAATTATCATTTCTTAATTTGCATCACAAATATAGACTTGTCCATCGATCTTCTCTCCCTTAATCTCTATTGGTCTAAACTAACTCTTAAAATTTTTGAAGAAAGAGGTAGAATTCATGTATGATGGAGCAGATGTTCCCATTTAATAACCAAAATAAAAATTATTTCAATGTTTCTTAAATCTCTCTAATCTCTCCTAAGCAGTTAATTCCTTAACTTAACTATATTCATTCTTTTATGTTCCTTTTGTAATTTGAAAGCAATAGTGTAGACCACAGCAAGATCTTTATAGTTCCAATTTTGCAATATTTTCTAATATATTATCAATGATTATTGTTACTTTAGCATGTTCCCCTTTAGTTGGCAGTGAATCTGTTTTAGTTAATTTTTAGCTATATTTACTTTAACTTTATTGAAATTATGATTAGGTTCCAAATAAATAAGAGGTTCTCATCTATATTTTAACATTTTTATTTTGTTTCTTGTTGCTAGAGCATAACTATTAAATTGGCACTTATTATTTTATATGTTGCTAAACTTTCTATTTTGCTTATTGAATGATTTATGTTTATTATATCTGCTGTTAATTTTGAGTTTTTTTGAAAATATTGATTATAAGTTTAATTCTTATGGAATTTTCAGGACAAAATTAAGATCAAAGTCTTGTTTTAAAAAATCATCATCAATCTCACAGAAATTATAATCTTTTCTTTATTATATATCCTCTCTAAGGGATGAATGTTTGTAATTTTTCTAAACTCTAATACATATATCTTATGAATTATTTGAGTATATTTATTCAATTGATTGATCGATATACTGAGACTTCTTTCTTATATTAATTAATAAAATTTTCTTTAAGGAGTTTCTAAAAAATCATAAAAAATTTTTCTTTTAAGTATTGTTAATCTTTTTTATTTAATAATGCTTTATTGATTTCAATCAACTAAGGGCAATTAAGAAGTAATAAATATCGATATAATTAAAGTATTTCCTTAAATAATCTTGAAATTATACTTCAGACAAGCCAAGTAAAAAAGAATTTTTGAGATAATTATTTATTTAAATTCATTTTCATCTTTAAATAAAATTGATTATGGTATTGCAAGGATTAATATTTAAATCAATTTAACAGAATATTGAGTGTTAAATCAATATTATACTTATTTCTGGGAATAACTTTAAAATAGGTTATTGAAAAAAATCATTTTAGCCAGAAATAAAATGTTTTATTTTTTATAGAATCTTTAAATAAAATTTTGTATCTCATATTTGATTGTTTGTTAAAAAATCATTAATAAGAGTATTTTTTATTTTTTGTATCGTGATTTCCAATAAATCTATTAATTTTGTTTGTTTAACATTTATTTTAGAATCTGTAACTTTAATTAAATTATTACTCATTAATCGAATTCGTTTTCTTCATGCAAATTGATTTTTTAATATGGTTATTCTTTGAATTAAGTAATAATTCATTGAATAATTATTCATTAGTTATACTTTTAGATGTTACCTATTATAATCTTCAATCTCAATTCATTAATTGAATTAATTAATCTATTTCATCAATTAAATATCCTTTTCAATCTTATCCAAAATTTCTTCTCTCTATTTATTTTGATTCTTAAAATCTAATCAAATTTTAGATTGTTTATAATCATGAATTTCATAATTATGCTATTCATATATGAAACTCCTTTCAATTTATTTGTCATTGACTAATACTAAATCTAGATCTCCATTAAGTCTCTTTTTTGATTATTTCTTCATCTTCTAAATCATCTGAAAAACTCATTTAAATATAAGTATCTGTAATATATTATTTTATTTTAAAAAATAGAAATGCATTCGAAGGGCAAACGAACTTTGGGTAATATAAAATGATGAATTATTTAGGCCCAATTTAAAAAATCAATACCCCTTCTTTTGATTTTCAATCAGCTTTTAAGGAACATTAGGAAGTAGAGGAAAGGATTAAAAAAGAAACTGAAACTCAAGATCCTAGGTATTATAACTCATAAATATTCAAGGAAACTTGTAATGAATCTATTGAACGATAGAGACAATTTGCAACCCATAGATGGCACTTTAACTAGTTCATAATTTGGAATGAAGAAAAAGGTAATTCTAAATATATAATATAATGATAGATAAACATACGTACAACTAGATAAGTGAAAAGTTAAGTGCCTTTATTAACTGGTTAGATGAAGAATATGACTTCACTTAATTTTAACTCTCCATCTTAAACATTGAAATTTGATATGGATTCATAATTTAATTCCAAAAGATCAAATTTCATACCTAATTTTATAAATTCAGGTAGAAATTTTGATGTAGAAGTGAAAGGAACATTAGGAGAGGAATTCACTGAATTTTAGATGTGTAATTTAATTAATTCAATTATTAGATGATGATGATTCATAACCAGAAGACATTCCAAAAAATAAAAATTTTTCTAATGGAGGTAGAATGGCTAATAAAAAATTAAAGGATTATGATTGTTGGGATGAAGATAAAACTCCTGAATAATGGATTGAATTATGTCGTAAAACGAATCCTCCACATGCTAAGTGTCCACTTTTTGATCATTCAGATAGATATATTTGGACTGATGTTGAAGTTCTTAACTATTAAAATGGACGTTATGAAGTGAAGGTTTTGAGAAATAATAAAATCAAATGGATTGGAAGACTCTCTCTATTATTCTTTGCAGAAGACCCAATTAAATTTGAATAGAGAGTTGAATTATGTAAATAAAGATAAAGAAATGCTGATGATGAATATAGATTTCTTAAATATATAGATTCTTTACCTGATTCAATGACATCTACTTTATCTACTGAAATGTAAAAGAAAATAGATGAATTCACATATTTCAGAGAATTACCTTATTTAACAAAAGAAGATCCTAGTAAAACTGCTCCAGGATTTCCATAAATCTAAACTTTGAAAGATGAATCAAAAACTATGATTACTGATCCAGAAATAAAAAGAAAGTAATTGTAAAATTTAGATCTACTCAAAAAAGATCTAGTTAAATAAGTAGAAAAAGAATATATTATGCTTATGAAGAAATGTTCTATTTTAAAAGATATGGAAATCAATAAAAATGATATTAAATGGATATAACTTAGAATCAGAAATAGATTTGAATAAACTAAAAAACCATTTTATGGATTATGTAAATAATTTGGAAGTGATACAAAAATCATTATTTATGAATCATAGGCACAATCAACTAAATCATTTAATAAATTATAAGATATTTGGGCTTTTGTTCCTACTAGATCTATTATTTAATCATTACATTATTCTAAATTAACAGTTGTTGTTAATACTCTTAATGCATTAACTGCAAGATCTCAATTATATCAAAATTTCCCTTTATTAAATGTATTATTAAATCATTAATCACTTCCTATGACTTTATCCAATTTTGAAAGTCAATAAAAATAACATTAAGTTTAAGGTAGATAAACTTTATAAGTTTAATGGAGAAGTACCATTGTTGGTGATATACAAGATAAATTAAGAGAAAAATATAGATTCTATTAAACAGAAACTGAAGATTATTTAGATAGTGACTTATAAAAGTTACTTATTAGAATTGATTATATGTTTACTAATTATATTAGAGAGAATGTAGTCAAATAGAATTGTATAGCATGGGTTGATTTTATTAAAAAATTTACAACACCAAAATAAGGAGAATATTGGAGAATTAATGATTATCCACTTATGATTCTTAATCTTGAAGTCAATCTTAATTTCAAAAAAAGTAAAAAAAATGAAAAAAAAGTCAAGTAAGATGATACTCCATTACTTGATGAAGATCCAATTAATGCTATATATTATTCTCCTAGTTTATAAGCTATTTAAAATGCTCTTTTGAAACCATTAGATCTATTATTAGAATCAGTTAATTCTTTTAATCGTTTAGAAAAAGATCTTGTTCCTTTGGTTGATATTGATTAAAAAAAAGAAGTAAAAGGAAGATTAAGAGCCTATGAAATAGAAAATGATTAAGATTAAATTTGGGTTAAATGGGCAAGAGATAAAATTTTGGAATACATTGAAATAGGATTTTAGAAACCGAATGAAATGCTTTAACGTTTTAGAGAATACAGTTTTCTTTTAGAAAAACCAGTTTCAAGCATATTAAAGAGTTTATTTGGAGATATTTCTAAAAAACCTATTATTACTTCTTTAGATAAGGATGATATCTAAAAAAAATTGAATGATTTTATTAATGCTAAATTGTAAATACAAAGATTATGTTTGGATGAAAAAAATGAATAATTCTTTTAGATAAGAACTAGAATTGCTAAAGAAAATTTAATTTAAAAAGCAAATGAATTTGTGTCATCTATTTTGAAATAATGTTCAGAAATAGTTACAGATAACATAAGTCGTCTTAGTGTTGAGTATACTGATATGAGTGAAAGAATAACTAAGTAACCAAAAAATGAAGCAGAATTAGTTGAATTAAAAACCTATATTGCTGAACATGAAGTTAATTTAGCCAAAAAGAAACGAGAAGTTGATTGTTTATATGATTATTTGACAATTTTTGAAGAAATGAACCATACATTTGAAGACAAAAATCTTTATGAATTTTGGAATTTGTATAGTTTCCCACCAGAAATTAAGAATCATGTTATTGAAGGATAGAGAAAAGCTAATCTATAAGAATAAAAGTTCATAGAAAATTTGGATAATGAAAAGGATAAATTTTAAGGGGAATTAAGAGAATTAGCTGATTTATATCTAACAGTTTAGAAATTTGAAGATTACACAAAAGCAAAAGAAAATGCTACTGAAGTGATGTTATTAAATGAAAGATTATAGAAAGCTAAGGAAAAAGTGGAATCCTTTAATGAAAGAGAAAGATTATTTAAATCACCAGAATCTGTATATGATGAATTAGAATAATTAATTAAGAACTTTACTATTTATTATAATTTATGGACTTATTTCATTGAATTTGAAATGGAAAAAGGTGATTGGTGTACTGGATCATTTTTAAAACTTAATTTTACTGAAATAGATTAAAAAGTAAGAACTAATTAAAGAAATGTTAATATTCTTATTAAAGCATTCTCAGATACAGGAGATGATACAGCTGTTGAAGTTGCGAGAAAACTAAAAAGTTAGATTGATGAATTTAAAGAAAAACTATGGTTAATTGAATTACTTACTACAGAAGCAATGAAAATTAAATTAAATATGTGGAAGGATATTTGGAAAATTGTATAACAAGATTAAGAAACAAATGATGATTTATCATTAGATACACTTGTATTACATGGTTTAATGAATCATAGAAATGAAATAGAAGAAGTATCAAGAAGAGCAGAAAAATAATGGTAAATTGAAAAAAATCTTAATTTAATATAAGAAAAGTTAAAAGATTAAAAGGTTGAAATGATTCCATATAAGAAGACAGGTACTTTTGTGTTAAAATCTCTTGAAGAAGTAGTTTAATGTTTTGATGA